CTCTGGGGCCCGGTGGCGCCCCCTGCTGGACTTTAGCAAGTTCCTGCTGTCTCTCGTGTTCCAGAAGCACAGCAGCCTGAGAAACACACACACACTCTTACTATGAGACCTTTAAAATGGTTTCAGCCATTTATACTGAAAAGAATACTCATTTAAAGGAACACGCCACTGTTTTATGAAATACGGGTTATTTAATGTCTCCCCTACATTTAGATAGGCAGGCAAACACATTTTTGTCTCAGTGTATGCATTGTTTTAGGTTGGCAGCGCCACCGCTAGCTTAGCTTAGCATAATGAATGTAATCCAATGTTGCCGGATAGCATGTCGTGAGTAATAGTGATCCAAAAACCAAATTACTTCTTGACCTGCATAATCACGATGAGTACAAATAGCGATGCAGATTAAGACTAGGCGATTTCCTAGCCAGAAATTGACTTGGGACTATATTGGGGTGAAGCACTGCAACTTGGGCGCAGAGATATCGAAGTTATTCGGTGGAGGACACGCCGGTGTGTTGATGGAAGTTGATGGATTTTGTGTGTCGCGTGATTTCTCCGCGACCAAGTAGCAGTGCTTCGTCTGTGCGTCACTCAATATAATCCCAAAAATATGGATCCAAATTTGTACATTACCAATTAAAGTTTCAGGTCGGTGTGATTCTTAATGTTATTGAATGAGTCTCTTATGTTCAACAAGGCTGTGTTTATTTGATAATTACAGTAAAACATTATTACAACTTAAAGCTCCTTTCTATTTGAATAATAAACTAATTAATTCCTGTGATCAAAGCTGAATTTACAGTCTTCAGAGTCACACGACCCTTCAGAAATCACTCTAATATGATGATTTGCTGCTCAGGAAACATGTAAGATTATCAATGTTGAAAACAGTCGTGCGGATTCATATGTGTGTGAAAAACGTGATACTTTTTTTAATGATTATTCGATATATAGAAAATTCAAAAGAACAGCGTATATTTAAAATAATAAGCAATTTTATCTTTTAATTAATGCATACTTGCTAAAGATGACTTTCTTTAAAAGAAATAACATATATATATATATATATGACCGCAAATATTTTTGAACGGTAGAGCATATCAAATTATTCACATTCATATAGCTGTTAATATTATATGACAAAGTCTTTTGACGACAGCACCACAGTCAAGGCAATAAGTGAACATTCACCCGTTTCTGCTGCTCTAGAAGTTCTTGTTCCTTCATCTGCTCGTCCATCCCCCGAGAATCACCCTAAACACACACACAGTTATAAACCGTAGTCATGTGACCCCTTAATTCATTGTATTCTTAAAGGGACAGTTCACACAAAAATGAAAGTTGTCAGTAATTACTCGCCCTCATGTCGTTCCAAACCTTTAAGTCCTTCGTTCATCTTCAGAACACAAATGAAGATATTTTTACCCTTCCATAGACACAATACAACAACCACTTTCAAGGCCCAGAAAGACATTGTTAAATTAGTCCATGTGACTCTAGTGGTTCAACCTTAATGTTATGAAGCGACAAGAATCCCCAAAATTATGCCTTTATTCAACAATTTCTTCTCTTTTGCTGTTTGCAAAGTAAACACAGTACAGCACTTCCTGTTTCTACGTCAAAACGCCGCCTCACTATTGGCTGACGCTGGTCACGTGACCTCCACAACATGCGTGACATATGAGCCGGCGTTCGTAGAACCTGCAGTGTTCACTACGTCAACAGTGGAGGAGATCGACGAGGAGGAAAAGAGTAAAGTCATAATTATTTTGTATTTTTGAACACAACGTATTCTGTGAAGCATTTCATAACATTAAGGTTGAACTACATGAGTCACATGGACTATTCTAACAATGTCTGTACTTTCTTTCCGGGTCTTGAAAGTTGCAACGACTACGTGGCTTCAGAAAGGTCTCAGATTTTATGAAAAATAATAACGAAGGTCTTATGGGTTTGGAACGACATGAGGGCGAGTAATTAATGACAGAATTTTTATTTTTTGGGTGAACTATCCCTTTAATAGTGTTTGATCATGCATGTTGTTCAGCATTTAACTCATATCCAAATAAAAAAAAATGCATTTCTCTTTTAAGTCAAACATAATACTACGTCATCAGTTGACAGTAAAGTCATCCATCATGTAAAGGGTTTCACACAGAGTTCAGCGTGTCTCACCGGCACGGCCCTGTCGTCGTGGGGCATCATGCCGGGCGGCTCCATGCCCATGTGGATCGGTGGAGGGCCGCCCATCATATTCATTGCCTGCATCATGTTCATGCCCGGCGGAAGGGGCATTGAGGGCATCGGGGGCATGGGCGGCAGACCTGGCATCTGACAAACACACACAGCACAACCTTCAACACTTATTCTCAAACATGTCATTCCTAGTCCTAAGTAATCCACAAAAACATGAAAAAACAGAATAAAGGACATATTGCAGTACCGTAGTCATGACCTTGTCATCTCCTCCTGCCATGTTCGGCTTGTTTATGATCATCCCAGACTGCAGACAAAATAAATGTTACACTCGGATAAAGAAATATACATTGATTATATTTGTAGTTTAAAATAAACAAAGTGAATATCTTACCTGTGCAAATGATTTGAGCCTGTCTATGAGCTCCTCTCTGGGACCTGAGGAACAAAAGCATAATTGAGAAATATCACTGGACTTAATTAAACATGGTTTTACATCATGAGTTTAATATGAGCTGGATAGTAACTGCAGTGTTTCTATATACTGCCGCATTTAAACACGAACACAAGCACAAACATTCACACTCACTGCGACTTAATTTAGTTATTTAATGACATTCAAGGCTCAAATGTGTTTTAACTACCAGAATAAACGCACATAAAGCTTCACATTAGACATGTTTAAGTGTACTACAGCACACGTTAGCGCAAAGTTTCGTGCACTAAAGGGAAATAACAGGCTAGCGGGCTAAGCTAACTAAGCTAGCGGAGAAAACCCTGAGGTAAACTTCGCCACAGCGCTCTTATCAAAACGTTTTAATCTCACCCATATTAGGAGCACCAAACTCGGCCAGTTTGGCCTGCAACTCGCCGTGGTTCCATGTGTTAAAATCCAAATTTAATTCAGCGCCCGGCGGCCCTTCGCTAGCCATGATGAAGCTCTACGGAACGAACGCGTTTAGGCGCGAGGGATCACGGGAACGCGACGCACTGCATTATGGGATTTGTTGATATTTTTCGCGCAGCACCAGTTTTTAAATAGTTGAGTGTATTTAATCGAACGCTTATTTAATTTTAAATAACGAACATATTTGTGTATAGTTTTCGTTGTAGCGCTGAAATGATTAAGAAGAATACAAAAGGGGAAATATTTGGCTTCGTTTGGGAATGTTTACATTAATCTAGGATGCGTTTAACACGCTCTGCCTCAAGGTGGAGGTCTTTCTTACATCTGAAAAAAGAAAGAAAAAAGACACTGGGGAATAAAACAACACTTTCCTGCTATTTACAGTTTTTCTCAGTCGCTTTGGTGTATTTCTCATCAGAAATCAAATTCTCAAAACTACTTGTGTTGAACCTCCACATCATCTAGTCACTTGTGCACATCATGAAATCAGTTTCTCATTCTTCTGAACTGGTTACAATTGCCTAGGGCGACCTTTTGATTAGGCCTACCAAAAACCAGGACACTCGGCCAGGCGAACAGATCCTCAAATGATACTCGAAGTTTACTCAAAGATGCCTTATTAATTTCAATATATTTAAGGTTATGGCTCTGTATGGATAGAAAATTGTTATATTACATGACACAAATTCAGATAGGTTTACTCAACATGTTTTATTATGACAGGTTTCAAAAATAATGAATGAAATAATGTCTCTTCTGTATTAAAAAAATAATATATAAATAATAAATAACTAAAAGAAATACCTCCAAATTGAACAAAAATAGCTCTCACAAACTTAAAAAAACGAACTAACAATATATATATATATATATCTTGTTTTCTTCCTCTTTATCCTGTTTTTCTTCCTCATCCTCCTTGTTTGCCCATCTATATTTTTTTTTTCTTTCCCAGCAGTTTTTTTGAAAACGAGGACATTTTCATCCCTTTATAAAAAACAGCCACGACAGGACATGAAAATAGGACATATCCTACATTATCAGTTGCCAATGTCATGATGCTCAAAATGTATTACATAGTTATCTGTGCAATAGTCTTACCCCTCAAAACACTCAGTTATTAGTTAATTTTATAAGTGGCCTAATTAAATGTAAAATTGTTGATCTATTATAGATCATGAATTGATGAATTGTGCAGGTGAATCTTGACTTTCACTAATGAAGAGAATGTAGATCAAACAATGAGAAACCAGTTCTCTGAAATAGGTCAAAGTTGCATCTCATGAACCTTCAATATATCACAATAATATTGTAATGGTTTTTTTTGTCAGTTAAAAGTGTAACTGTGAATACTATCCAGGGTATTTCAATCAATAACTCACGTACAGTAGTGTGCAAACGTGTACTTTTTAATGGATTTTGCCATATCACAGAACAACATGACTTTTGACTATCTTGCTTGTGAACAATGACTCATGTTCATTGACATAACTTACTTTTGAGAGATGAATAAAAGTTTTTGAGTAAGTTACTGGCTTTTTAATACAATGTGTGGAGCTGTTTGAACGAATTGTTTTGAGAATGAACCTACTTTTTTTTTTTGCAAATATTGAGTATGATTTGAGAAATGCACCAAAGCTACTGATTAGCATACCAGTCTTTGAATCATATCGAAATACAAATTCAAACATGGTGTCAGGACTGTGGTCTTACAGTTTATACTAAGATATTTATTTGTTCAAATGAGCTAGTGTATGTATATCAACATTTCTTGTGGTTATTTTCTTCTATTCATCGAGCGTCGCGGTGAACGCGTAAACGCGCTCTTTGATTGGTCGACGTAAATCTACGTCACGATCCCATCGCGTCGCGTTCCCAGCACATCTATTGCGCATGCGCTCCGGATCCGCTGGGGCGTTTGTGCTGCAGTGCAAAAATCAGTGGCAGGACGGTAAACTACATGAACTCCAGATGTTTGAAGGATTAAACAATAACCAACACGTCTGGATTAGATGATAATTGTTCATACACGGAAGTGTCCTGCGAATCAAGACACGAGGTAAGGGAAAGTAATCATCGGTTTCTCGCCATCCACGCAAGTGAGACTTTGACACTTTTTTTGCACTTTTATTGTTTTAGTCCCGTGTTGTTCTTATCAAATATGCTTCACGTGAAGGTTGTGCTATAAAATAATTGTTTGTCAGCCAATGCTCACGTTTTTTGTAAACATCTAAAGATGAATGAACTTCATTTCCTTGTTTTGCAGTGTCTAAAGCTCTCCTCCTGTTTATGACTGTTAAACTCATATCGTTTGCATGCATACATTGACGTCATAAACTGTTAAACCAATTTAGTGGTTGTGAATGTGTGTAGTTGTGTGTGTCAAGTTCTGAGAGTTGTTTATATTCGTGTCACTTATCTGTAAACACATCTTAAAACATCTGAATTGTTTGTTGACGAATTCATGCATAGCCTGGCTATTAAAAGCGTTTTAAACGACACACACATGTTCAGCTGTTGTGGTCCGGGTGGGTCTCTTCGGTCACACAGGAAGTGATGAAAGCGAAGCCCCATTATTTCTTGTCTAAAATCCACTTTGGTAGTGCCATGGTGCTTGTTTTTGTTTTTTAATAATGCAATTAGAGAACTTACACTTTAATAAGGCTGGAGTGTTCTCAATTATGATCATCCTCGTATGAGGGACCCCATTCTAACATTTCATCTAGACTATTGTATAAAGACTGAAAACTTAATGTTATCAATATTTTGAAAATATTATTTGATTTTTTTTTACATTATTATATTAAGTACAATTATATTTAAATCTATAACTACATTAGGTTTTATTTAATTGTTAATTTCCCAAATTGGAAACCCCAGGACTAAGACACTGGTTGTCTTTTGAGACGACTCAAACCCCTAGTGCGCTCTTGTATTTTATGTTGGTTTGAAATTAAAATCATGCCTTAAATGGGTTGTTGTAACTTGAGAGGTGTTGTCAGTATTGTAGAGTTCTGCCACTATTGACATGATCGTATCAGATTTAGGAGAAGTTAAAAGTTGGATTCAGCGCCACTGTTTACATTAGGAACAGTGCAGATGTTTTACTCTGATCATTCCAGTGTCAGTTGTGTGATTTAGTGCGGTTGTTTAGGGTGTTGTCTGTCTGTGAGAGTTTTTGAGTGACAGCTGAGCTCACCCACGCCCAAACCAACATGACAAAATCATACTTGCAGGTGCCTGACTATAAAAGAGTACAGGGAGAACACAGTGTTTATGTTTCATTTAATTGTGATTTCTGCACCACTAACGGCACAAATATTTATTAATAAAAAATGATATATCGATGAACCACAACATTATTGCCACTTGCCTAATATGTGGTTGGTCCTCCATGTGTCTCTAAAACACCCCCGTCCCGTCGAGGACTGGTTTCTGGCTGCGGGACAATAGCAGCAAGTCCCGTAGGATGCGAGGTGAAGCTGCCATGGATTGAACTTGTTTGCCCAGCAAATCCCACAGATGCTCAATTGACCGTTCGCAAAGACCCGCCCCCTTTAGTTACTGTTGCTATGTCCAACAAGCCATGCTGCTCTCACACCACAGACAGGTCTCAACTTTCCAATTTGGTCCTTTTTTTAAAAGAAATGTAAACAATAAATACCTTTTTTTTTTTTGGCTCTTTAAAGGGTCATTCCACCTCTGGAAAGATGAATGTGTATTTAAAATGGGGCATTTATGTAGAAGAAATGTGAAATTATTTTTGAATTTGGACCTTTCTAGACTGAGAAAAGCCAGAAAATGTATTTTTGGCTTATGTGGATGAAAGACAACAACTCCCAGAATGCACTTGCTTCGCTGCCCTAGTAGGCCACGCCTACCGGTAACAGAGCGCAGTAGTTAAAGTCTAGTGAGTCTCAATAGCCGCGTTTCCACTGCCGGGCCAGGGCCGGGCCGTGCTAGTGCGTGCCAGGGCCAGTCGCGTTTCCACTGTCACTTCCGGGGCTTGATCGGGGCTTCCTCAGGGCCAACGGCCAGGATTTCTGGCCCGTCAAATACCTTGGGCCAGAGGGGGCCAGCTCGGGCTAGAGGCGTGCTCAAGGTAAAAGGCGGAGTTTATCGGTGTTATGGAACGTTATGATCTGAAGCAAGATGCACATAGGGGTGTCCATGTTTAACCGATTAACCGTTTAAAATTGCATAACATTTTAATTTGAACTGTAGGCCTATATGCCAAATGCTGCGCAACAATACATAGGCTAGTATATATAGGCTACATATCGACGAATTTTCAGATATTTGTTTGATTTTTTTGCCCCTTAAACATTTAAAATATTTGACAAATTAATATGAAAAAAATATATATTTTACTGGTTTTCTGAGGCCAAATTAGAACCTGGAAATGATATTTTCCCCTCAGTGCTGAATGAGAAGAGCCGTAACCACAGCCTACAGAAAGGGGATTTATGGGTGATTTATAGGCTAGGCCTATAATAAATGTGTCTGATAATAAAATAATATAAAATAACGAGGCATTAATTGTTTATTAATAAACTATTGTTTTCTAAATGATTTTCGGCTAAAAACATATCTCCATCTCCGGATGCACATTTAGAGAGAAATTAAGCTACATAAACATAGAAGATATTGGCTTTCGATTCGAATTTGTTCGTTTTAAATTGGACATTTAATCTACAAAGGATATAAAAGCTTTAAATGTCCAATTTAAAACGAACAAATTCGAATGCGGTGGCTGTTTCAGGTCTCGCGCTTCAGTTCACGGAGATCATGAAGCGCGCCTTGATTAATTGTTAAAGCACAACGTTTTCTTGTTATAAATACATTCATTTGCGAATAATGTATTATTATTTTCTGTATGACCAGAAATTAAAGAGTATTTTAAGTTGTTTCCACTGAAAGAAAGCAATGAAACTGTTCACATGGGCGTCTCGCAGCCATCAGTGCGTGCTCCACACACACTGGATATGCGCTGATATTTGTCAAAAATATTGTGTTTATTTGTGCTCTGTTCCTTTTTTGGATAAAGGCGTCTTCTACATATGCAGCCTAATAAAATGTTACAATAATGATGATGATGGTTATTATTTGCAGACACGGAGTTTTTGTGAAATGGACGTTTTGCTTATTTTCAATTGGCAATTTCAGTTTGAAGGGTGATGGAAATGGGGCTTTAACTGCTCCGTACTTGCTGCGTTTTATTTCTATAATTTAATTTCGTTTCAAATGAGGTCAAATCAGTTATTAAAGGTGTTAAAAATTTACTCTGTATCTCGAGGTTGCGGCGCGCACACTATGCACCGAGTATTAACCGATGGGCCTCGGTTAACGATTAATGAATAACTTGAAAACGTGCCCGCAGCCCTACTTGTTATATCGCGCAAAAAATCGCTGCTTGAAATGGAGAATCGCCTGTACTGGTCTCGTGACACTATTGCAGCCACTACGGCAGGTGAGTTAATATACATGCTATCTTCCTAATTTACAAAATAAATTAATTCATAATACCCGCTGAAATGGGTTGGGTTTTATGACGTTTGATCCAGAAAGGCGTGTTAGGGGTGGGGTCTGGGGCAGCGCTGTGGGGCTACTGGCCCGGCAGTGGAAACGCAAGCCCGGTGCTTGAGGCCCGAGGCCACTAGCTCGGCCCGGCTCGCTGTTAGCTCTGGCCCAGCCCTAGCCCGGCAGTGGAAACGCGGCTCATGATGAGTCTGCCCGAAAATGTGTTTCGAGATGTGCGGGATTCGGCTTTTGCGTCACAGTCTATATCGGTCTGGCTCTGCCTAGTATCATTGGACAGTCAGTGCGTCAATCAAACGGTCGTACCATAGCCCCGCCCCCTTTTGTGCGCATACTCAAAGCTCGTGACCCAGACACAGTAAGTGCAAGTGCCCCGGTACAGACAGAGAGAGAAAGTAAGTGTAATCTCGCGCATCTGAGTTTTGCATGTTCTTCTGCAGGCCTTCCTGAAACCCTAAACCCTGTGGTTTACACTGAAAATAACACTTCCTCCTTATGCTTATGTTTACAGTAAAACACGTTCAGAAGCTGGAGGGGTCACAAAAAGAATGAGAAACACAATATTAAATATATTTTAAAGGTAATTTAAATTTATTTTACACATGATCGTATCGCATATATCAAATATTGCATTTTTCTTCAATATCGTGCAGCCCTAGTGACACATTCCTCCCATAATAACCATCATTAATATTTAGCTTGACTTGTGCCCCAGTAAAACTTCTGTTGGCTTGGACTGGATGCAATAGCGTTTGATGCCGTCATTCGTCGATGAGCCTTGTGTTCCTCCTCACACACTGTTGGTAAATTCTCCCCATTGCAACACACAAACATTGTTGATTCAGAGACCATCCTTGACGTATCAATCTGGCCCTTGTCGAAGTCACTCAGGTCTTTATTCCTGCTCATTTCTCCTGCATCCAACACTATATTTCACCAATCATGTAATCGACTGAGAACTTGACATGTCTTGTTAGGAGGTGATCAATATTTTTCACTTCACCTGTGAGTGGTCATACATTTTTGGCTTATCAGTGTGTGTATTAAATTACACACATTATAGCGTTCTTGTGAAACCCGTTTTTCCTCGAATCCCCAGGAAAGTTTCCCTCAGTCTGTCTCCACGCCTCTCCACGATCGGTCGACTGCATCTGTTCACAAATAGGGTTGGGAACCGAGAACCGGTTCTTTTCCAGAACCGGTTGTGTTTTTGAAAAAATACCGGAACCGTGCAAAATTCCTAAGTTTCGGTTCCGAAAACGGTTCTGATGCCGATGCGATATCATCATGTGGGCGAAGTGCTGGGAGTAGAAGACGCCGTCTTATTCCTAAATGACAAAAACTTCACCACTGAAGTTGCGATTTGCTCTCACACGCGCTGCATTTGTCACACACAGACACACGCACGCTGCGCGCGCCGACCGCCGAGTCACTCTCTAGCCTACATTCAAATCTGTTTGCGCTGAGAGAGAGAGAGCAGGTGTCAATATGAAACTGCTTTACAATCACACAGTCTCAATATTTATTTGTTTCACATATTCAAATGATTTCCGTTACAGAATTAGTGAGATTATAGTTTGAGTAAACATTGACGGTAGTGGTCAAAACAGATGCAGTCCGTATATTTTTTGTGTTCAGAATTTACAAAATATATACAATGAGCGAGTGCATCATAATGTTTTTTTTTTCAAACCGTGTTTTTGTCTTATCTTGAATCACTACGTAAAGCCTGTAATAAGCGTTAATACTCGGACTTCTTTAGACTGGCCGGCGGATCGCAGCTGCTGCGGAGTAGCCCAATGCCTGCGTGACTCGTCATGGACATAAACAGAGAGAAGTAGCTCCGACAACAATGTTCTTCCGCAAGACGCATGCAGTTCTGTTTATTAACTGCTAGAGCGCCGGTTTATCCAGTAATGAAATAAGTAAAGTCTTTATGAATCAATCATTCAAACCGTTTTAAAAAATAATCTGTTCTACACACAGATGTGTGTTAAAGCATATACTATTCCTTCTGAGAGGGTATTCTTCACTGTTGGAGATACAATAAAGGAGAGGTCTAAATTATTATAGAGAATGCAGAATTTTTTAATTTCCTTTATATATAATTTTTTTTTTTTTTTTTTTGCAAAGATTGCTTAATAATATTTTGAGTTTGTTTACATAACCAGTCTGTTAAACTAATTTGTCATGTACTATAAGAAATAAACACAAAAAGGATTGTGGATTTTTCTCTTACTAATATTTTTAATTGAATGGGAACCGGAACCGGAAAATTTCTCACGATTCCCAACCCTATTCACAAACTGAGGTTTCATGATGTGTCTGTACTTGTTTTGCCTTTGTCATCTTTGTCCTTTTTTCAGAGAGCTACAAAACAGAGGTTCCCGCTTCCACAAGAGACTAATCCAGTATTTATTTGAGCACGCTTGTGTCAACCCGAGCACCTCCACCACTAGAGCTCGATGATAACATGATGAACGTGTTTATGAGGGTGGCTCAATGGAGATTTGACACGAGAAAATAGCAAGAACTAGTCTTCACTAGGCTAGGCTTTAGAGAAAAGCAACATTGGAAAGGGTTTCCCGTATTTTATCTGAAGAAGTATGTTTTGCGAAGTCACTGTTCGAGCGCTGAATGCTGCATCTGTACTCCTGGTGCACACACACACATGCCTGCAGTTTAATACACTCTTGGCAGCGTGTCTTGGGTCTCACGCACCACACCCTTGCACTGCTCTACTTTCTCTCATTTGTTAGAATGAGCTTATTGAGTTTTTCATTAAGTTGAATGGGGACTGCCTTCATGTTCATGATCATGACTGATTTGCTGCCCTAGGCAAGGTTTTACCGCTTACATCAGCCGCTGATCCTTGTGTTTATAGTATACACTTACGCAGAAACTGCACATGTACTGGAGAATGAGAGAGAGACCATTGGGGCTTACATTTATATTATACAAAGAAAAACAAAGCTGATGATGCTGACTTATACCTTGAACTCAAATAGGAAGAGTAATTAGCAATTACCTATACTAGCATTCATGCTAACACGTACTCATTGTAGCATACCGTTTAATTTTCAAAATTTGTTGGCAATCGCACTTTTTTCATGTTATAATTGCAAATAAATAAAAAAACGGAGAAAAGCAGATATGTTTTTCTGTGAATTTGACCCAAAATGTTGCTATTTTAGGGTTAAAATAACTGACGTTAACTCTAGCTAGATGGCTTTCAGGATAACGAACGTTACTCTTGTCTAACTACTAGATAAACTGTTCATTCATTACTTTATCTTTTTCCTCCATGGGCACCATAATGCAAATTTGTCATGCGTCATGTAAATTCGGCATGGCCTGTAGCATTTGCCTATTCCACCAATGCCTACTACAATAAACAACCGTAAATGACATAAGATGGGTCGACAGCATCTAAATATAAAACATTAGCATTAGCACAACACATTAAATGGAGCTTCGGCCCTAAGACTAGACTAATAGTAGTTTATGGTTTTCCAAACAAGGATAAATGTAAAGGTGGAGGGTGAAGAAAGACAGGAGTGACTCATAGGAGGGAGTGGGTGTTTGTTAGTTTACTGTATCATCTCAAATCATTGTGGAAAACCTAATTCATCATGTTTAGTTCTGTGTGTGGAGCACATATGGACAGTTTGTGAATGTTTGCAGTTTGTCTACGCTAGTGAGTCACGATTGTGAAGGTTAAAGATGAACATGCAGGCTGAGCTCAGGCTTAGAGAGGTTATGACAGCAGATCTCAGGCTTTGTTTGAATGAATGCTAGTTTATTCTGCATTCAGAGGCATGTCAGCATCATCATATTTCCTGTGGGAAACTCTCTTAGGTTCAAAATGTGGGTTATTTTGGGGGTTAAATTAACCCAAATTGGATTCAATTCAGCATATAATTGATATTTGGTGTGCTGAATCCAGTTATTAGTCTTTTAATCAGTTCGTTTACTGTATCGATTCGCATGCATTACTCGCATCAACTCTTTTAAACGGACTTTGAGATGTTTTTGAAGCAGTTCCCAGCGAACTTAACATGCGGGACCTGTTGCTAATGTACGCCTTCAATGCAGTGTGCGTTACTTCTAATAAAAGCGTCTGCCAAAAATGTGTGTAGGGTAGTTGAGAAACTGACATAACATCAAAAATATTTTTATTTTTAGCTGCCTTTGACCATGAAATGAATAGGTGGGCCTAATTTGACCCGAAAATGTCATAGTCGTGAAGCAAAATTTGTAAAACTCAGTGTGTGTCGACAGTGAATGACCCTAAACGGTCAAAAAGACCCTAAAAAGTTTCAAAATTTCAAGAAAAGTGTCACGTATATATGCAAATATCATCAGAATGGGTCAGATTTGACCCGACGTCTAATTTAGGAACATGGTGGAAATGAATGGATATTGATCATGATATAATTGTGAATGTTTGTGTGCATTTTGTGTTCTGTTGATTAAGAATAGTGATGAAACTAGTGACTTATTTAGCTGCTTCACTGGAAAACATAAAAAAACTACATTTCCCATCATTATCTGTGAGATAGCTAAATGATGGTTAAATGATAGCTATATGATAGCTATAATAGATAGCTATATATATATATATATATATATCATTTTATTCAGACTAAATTATTTTCTTTTTTCAGGTCTTCTGAACCAGATCTGGGACCTTTGTGTGCTCCGATTAAATGTCATCCAACATCTTTCATTGAACGTTAAGACATTCGTTCCACTCTTCGTTTCCTGGGTTGTGATTGGCTCGTCTCTTCCCCTTCCTCTCTTCTCATTGGCTCTCTGGGGTAACGTCTCTAGTGAAGCGGGCCGAAACATGGAGCCCATTTACGCCACGGGAATGGCTGCGAAGCTGCGGAGTCAGTGGGACCGGGATGCAGGATTGGGTCAGAACCACAACGCCGTGAAGTTCCTGGGACAAGATTACGAGTCGCTGAGGGCCCAGTGCCAGCGCGCGGGGACCCTGTTTGAAGACCCTCTGTTCCCAGCCTGCAGCTCTTCTGTGGGCTTCAACGAGCTGGGCCCGCGCTCCTCCAAGACGCAGGGATTACGCTGGAAGAGGCCGACGGTGAGCCTTAGGGGTCTTGTATTTGTTTGGCACACGACTTCCTTCATACTCTGTCTATTCTCTCGTTCTCTTCTAACTGCATTATTTTAAAGTCGGCCTTATCCCTTAAAACTCATCTTTGATCACTCAAATTACATATTCGTGCCTTAATATAGCTTGAATGTAACTCTACACCCTATTTAGTATATGCGTTTTTTCTATGAATATGCAAATGAGCCCCGCCTCCACTCACTCAGCTCAGAGATCCACTCGTTGACGATCACACGTTGATCTGATTGGTTACAAGGTAGTTGTAAATACGATATGATGTACTTTATACATGTATAATCTCTCTCTCTGTGAACATGAACACTTCTACAGTTGGTTACTTCATAACTCCATCTCTCGTGTGCTTGATGATGTGGGCGGTTCAAGAGCTCAAACGATTTGTCAGTTATATATATATTATATTATATATATTATATATTATATATTTGTCGTTATATATTCGTTTCTCCTTCTTCCTGCCTTTATGAAGCAAACATGAGTTTTTAATTGAGCCCGACCGATAAAGGATTTTGAAGGCCGATACCGATACAAATATTTTTGGGTTTTAAAATCCGATATATCGGCCGATATTTTATTTATTTATTTGAAGCTGGACATGATATTTACAAATGTTGTCCTGCTTATTTGAGTTTAGAGAACTGATGGAGATGATCTTTTAATTGTTATTCAAGCAATGTATGTATCATGACCAACTCAACGAGTGTTGCCAACAGGGACGGTGCAGAGTGCCCTCAGGTGGACAAACTATACAACTCCAACACTCATGACATGGTTCAAGCGTGTTTCGTCCGTTTTTATTTTATTTTTGAAATATTCATTTATCGGCCATTATAACTGCCGATACCGATAGTTTGGAAAATGCCTAATATCGGCCGATAATATCGGTCTGCCGATATATCGGTCTGGCTCTAGTTTTTAATTTCACACACTGCTGCATGTGCACGTCACACACAGCTTACAAACAGGCTAGAATATATGTGTGTGTGTGTGTCTAAATGCTGCTGTGCCTCTTTTCCGTGTGGAAATGCAAATCTAATGTGTGTGTGTGTGTGTGTGCTTCAGGAGATTTGCATGCGTCCCCGGTTCATTGTGGATGGAGCGACGCGCACGGACATCTGTCAGGGAGCTCTAGGTGAGTGTGTCGGGCAGTCTACCTCACACAACCTCACCAGCTGTTCACACCTAACATGCACTCGATCAGCGGCTGGACAAACATATGGCAATATTGTGAAATATTATTGCTATTTTGAAATAGCTGTTGTTTCTATGTGGATATTAGAGCCCGACCGATAAAGGATTTTGAAGGCCGATACCGATACAAATATTTTTGGGTTTTAAAATCCGATATTCCGATATATCGGCCGATATTTTATTTTTTAAATTAAATATTGTTGTATTTCACACACGTGTAAAATAAAAGCTAACTTTTCTGCACAAGATACGTTTGATACTTTTTCTCTATGTCTAAATGTTCACTCCTCGCAAGTATAACTTACATTTTACAATGCAGGGACTGTAACTAGAGATATGCTAGTTATAAATACAGTAATCATTACTTTATTTAGGCAGAAAAAGTTCATAGTGGTTTCCAAGCTCATTAATGTTAACGTTAGCGGTCTTCCACTGATAATAGTGGCATTAGCTAGCTTTGTCTATGATGAGCCATAATTTAGCAATAGATAACATCATACTGCAAATTGTAAAACATACATTTTCAACATAACAGACCAAGGAGAGATGATTAAAGCGTGTTTTGTCCGTTTTTATTTTATTTTTTTAAATATTCATTATAACTGCCGATACCGATATTATGGAAAATGCCTAATATCGGCCGATATATCGGTCTGGCTCTAAAAGTGTAGTTTATTCCTGTGATCAAAGCTGTATTTCCAGCATCATTACTCCAGTCTTCAGAGTCACATGACCCTTCAGAAATCAGTATAATATGATGATCTGATGCCCAAGAAACACTTATCAATGTTGAATGTTGTATTTCACAGAGGAAGGCTGTAGTAAAGCACTGCAATGTTTACTCCGGACTCACAGTTCATAATTAAAGCTCTGCGGTCATTAAATAAAGATCCGCTGTCTCGCAGCCGAGCAGATCATGCATTATGGAGAAATCATAAATGGATACCGTGTTTAAACATGCAAAAGCGGGAGGAAGAGCTGAGGAGCACGGTGACCTCTTGTGCTTTTAAAAGCTCGAATAAACATTGAGACGAAATGACTCTCCCTCTTTTGTGTCAGATTTCCGGAAGATATTGACGTATTCTCTGGCTTTTAATATCAAGCCATCGCCTGTTTGGGGCAATGATTACCATGTTTCGCAGAATCACAGAGACTGAGGCATGAAGATGGAAAAATAAATAAATAAAGAGAGGAACATTTTGGGCCGGTGTTCTGACGATTCATGCTACCCATCGAGATTTGCTACTTACCGGTTATGGTCATGTGCAGACTCACAGTTGTTTTTTTTTTTTTACAAAAGGTACATTTTCCTGTTATAATGTATAATTTCCCTTTAAAAAATGCTTACTACCATATGAATATTTGTACGGTCAGCCAGCTGAAAACGAATAACTGAAAGTTTCAGTTACTATGAGGAAAGGTGTACTTTGACAAGTCAAAGATGAATATTTTATGATAATTTTTACTTTTCACACCGTTTTAAAAATAAAAGCAGTAGTCTACAGTATACAGTAGCTACTCATAACTTAGAATTGTATTATAATTGTATTTCATACGACTTTAATCGGCATTCTGTGATCAATTCGCGCTACGGTAGCATTTATCGACAAGGCAGCAAAAATCAACAGAACACCGGTTCACTCCTGGTATTCAGATGCGTTTGATGGATCGGGTCACGAGTGGACGGCACTAGATACAGCAGTAAACACTCTAAAGCGCTTCGAGCTCATCCACTTCCAGAGGAACATGAACACACACTCGCAGTGTAAACGCTCATGTGATCGAATGTGTCCAAACAGCCTCAAAAGATCGTCTTCTCACCGTCTGCTGAACTCACGAGAAGAGGTTATACAGACGGGACTGTCCACTGGAGACACAAGATTGGTTTGAAGAGGAAAAACGTACCAAACACAATGATCTCTCGCCATTCCTGATTTCTAACACACACTCATGCCGTTCGGCTGATCTTCGTCTGTCAGAGCAGGAACGAATGTTCATATATAAATTGCGCAAGCTTATTTTGGTTCATTAGATTAAAGATCTGAACATCATATATTTCCCGCCCGTAGACCCTCCGCTCGAGGAGAAGTGGATGAAAGTGGACAGAAGAGACGGATTAATGCCGCGTTCACGTGCTATGCACTTGTGAACTGGTATTTACCAGTGTGTTGCGTTCAAGTGCTTCGGTTGGCGTAATGTGGTAAAAAGATGGAGATCCAGACCTGTTATTTAGCTAAAACTATTTTAGATTGCTTAAGTCATCTGCAACAGCAAGAAAATTATTTATCAAAACTCAAAAGATAAATAATATGCGGTATATTTTCTAGATCATGAATAGTATATGTTTACCATTCACGACTCACGCGGTGCTCTCCGCCATTTTGAAATGGTCAAAGGTTATCTCATCTCGGCAACCCGTCCATCAAAATATTCTACGAGTTGCCCAGTAGTAAATACCACATGAGGGGGTGTTCGTGTGCATTTTCCACGTCGGCTTTTGGTATTTACCATAATTACCATAGCACATGAACGCAGCATAAAACACCAGGAGAAAACGGGAATGAGTCTCGCGTCTGCTTGTGATATCGACCAAAACACATCTTAATATCAGGAGTAAACAGGGCTTTAGACAGGCGTTTTATCACACAAAAGACCATTTCTAGTGGACTTCTGGTTAGTTAGACCCCATTCTCTACACATTCAGCTGTGTTTAACTTCCACAATTACCTGTACTGAAATAATCTCTCATCATGGGCCAGAACACTCAGTAATAGTGTTAAATCTGGTGAATTTGAAAAAGCTTCACATAGACACAACATTAAAACCTCGAGTTTTCATCACTTTATCCGACTGAACCCTGTTTGAAGTGTCTCTTCGCCCGTGTGTGGTGTTTTCCTCAGGTGACTGCTGGCTGCTGGCGGCCATCGCGTCTCTGACCCTGAACGATACTCTCCTGCACCGCGTGGTGCCGCACGGGCAGGACTTCGACGGGAGCTATGCGGGAATCTTCCACTTCCAGGTAAAATAAAGACTCTTTACTGGCCTCTGGTGTTCCATTCAGAACTTTCATCTTCCATGGAATCTTTCCCATGAACTAAAGGTTCTTTATCGTGGAAAAAGATCCCGCTTTAAGTGCTATGTACTTGCATTGAAATTAATAATTTGATACAATGGACTTATTGTGTACGTACATGTTTTTACATTGTAGTTATATTTAAAAAATACCAGGATGTAATTATATTTGTAATTACACAGTTGACCCTTCATTTACACTTTAACCCACCCGCACCACACACACCTGTCCCTAAACGCACCCGTATCACTCCTCAATACCAGCAAAACTGTTTTACAATACAACATGAACAAAAGTACACATAGTTGTGGAATAAGATCCTCTGATGCTCTTCCGTCATTCATCTATTAATTTCTTAAATCAGGGACAGTACATTGATAGTACATAACAATATGAAAAATGCGCCTGATTTAGCCAAACACTGGCTAATGTTCCCTAATTTTTTACCAAAACATTTTACGTTTTTTTTTTTTTCATCATGGATATGATTCGATTGGTCCTGTAAAATATATTCACATAGTCTCTCTAATAGAAAAGAGTGTCTTCACGGTCAAAAATGAGTGCATTGGATGGAAGTGAATTGAAGATGAATTTTATCTAGTAAAACTTTAGTTACTGAAGCCAAACAAAAATCTTACTGAAATATCACAACTTGTTTAGTAAAGCCAGACCGATGTATCGGCAGACCGATATGATCGGCCGATATTTGGCATTTTCCAAACTATCGGTATCGGCAGTTATAATGGCCGATAAATTAACATTTAAAATAAAATAGAAACGGACGAAACACGCTTGAACCATGTCATGAGTGTTGGAGTTGTACAGTTTGTCCACCAGAGGGCACTCTACACCGTCCCTGTTGGCAACACTCGTTGAGTTGGTCACGAGACATACATTACTTGAATAACAATTAAAAGATCATCCCCATCAGTTCTCTGAACTCAAATAAGCTCCAGTTTCAAATAAATAAATAAAATATCGGCCAATATATCGGAATATCGGATTTTAAAACCCAAAAATATTTGTATCGGTATCGGCCTTCAAAATCCTTTATCGGTTGGGCTCTATTGTTTAGTTTTATGTCTTTGATTTTCTTGCAGTTTGAGAGTTATTTTTGAAAATATAGATTACATATGAAAAAAGCACAAAAATACCTTTTTCCATTTTTATATAAAAAAAACGTAAAATTCTCAAACTTTCTTTTTTAAGTTCACTTTTTTAAAACTTTGTTCACTTCAGCAATAATTTGCCAAGTGTCGTCTTTAGTTTAGTTTATTAAGATCTCCATTAGCTCCTGCAAATGCAGTTGCTATTCACCCTGGGGTCTATAGACTTCAACACAAAAAAAATATTCTTACAACATAAAAGCATACATTATATAGACAAAAAAGCAGTGTACACATTCATACATGACAATACAGCAACATACTACAGTAATTCTGTCTTTAAAAAGAGATCAAACTTCAGTCTGTGCTTTAAAGCATTCAAGATTTATGGCAGTATAAGTAAGTTTTTCAGGTTTTTTTATTTATTTAAATTTTCAGGTCAATGCTCAAAACGTGAATAGATGGATTATAACGACTCTGTAGATATAATGTAGTACACTGTAAAAAAATATTTTCAAGATTTGTTTTCTTTTGTCAAATCAACTTAAATAATTTATTTAGTTGAGATAACTTATTATTTTGAGTTTCGGATGATTAAATTAATCTCACTTTTTCCAGTTCAATCAACTTAATTTTAATTCAACCAGATTACTTACTTTTCTAAGTTAAACCAAAAATATTTTTTTACAGTGTACCATAAAATACCTTAAAAAAACTAAATATTAAATAAAAAAATGTTATCAAACTAAAATATAGTACAGTCCTTTAATTGACGTTAATAGCATAAATCTGTGGTGTGGTTTGAGAGGGTTAAAGTGTTCGTCTGTGGCACTGCTGGGAAAACCCCTTTGGGACTGAAACACATGTAGCCATAAAGCATTGATGAACTTTGCTCTGTACACAGAGCAGATGGAGTGAGCAGTGGTGTGTGTGAGCATTATAAATGGTGAAGTGCTGCTCAGAAACGGTGTATGCGCATTCAGGCATCATGGGTAATCTGTTCCTCTTGTGCTCCACCGCTAGTGTGTTCACAATGGCAATAGGTGAGATCATATTTCAGTGTGTGAGATGTGGGGGAGGGCCGGTTTCTACACTCTTCAAATAACCCCAGTGAAGTGGCATTCTGGGTAATGAGGGGACACCACAAGCCAAGAATTCTTTCACAATTTGTATGGACAGCGCAATTTAAACTTGAGAAATATCATTGAATAATTGCCTTATTATTCATGCATCTTGGTGTTGCAGTGGTGTGTGTGTAAAGAAGCAGCTTTATATGGGACACACACACACACACACACACACACACCGCAGTCAGACACAACACTCCGCAGGAAGCACACAAGATCAATATATCCTGAACTGATGATATATCATCATGAAATACCTCACACACGCGCACACAAACACACACACACGTGCATCATGCATGAATGAGTGTGAGAACAAAAACACAGGGCTGTCTTAGGATCCAAATGTGTTCACTAATGGTTCTCTCTCACACACACACACACACACACACACACACATTGTCTCATCTGGGACTCATTTAGATTAGCAGCAGAAATGCACGAGTGTGTGTTAATGAGGCTGATTATGAGAGTAAGTCACGAGGAATCGCACTGACATGAGAAATGCTGTAATGTGTGTGTGTGAATCCGGCGTGTCCGGCTCATATTTAATATGGACTTATGCTGTTCTAGGACAGTTTGGAGGATTTGCGTTGTGACATTGCTTTCAGTTTCATATAAAACCATCAAATTGATACTAAAATATATAGTATGCAAGATTTCTACATACTCACACATATCTGCATTATATAAATCAAACATCCTGAACAGAAATTCCTCATAGATGTGCGGCACGATTGATGATGGATTTCATTTATGTCTCAAATCCAGCTTAAGATTCATTTGAATGGGGCGCACAGTGTAGGATGAGTCTATAGGGTGTGTGTGTGAGAGAGAGAGAAAGTGAGTGTGTGTGTCTGTGAGTCTGTGTGAGAGAGAGAGTGTATGAGCGTGTGTCTCTCTGTGTGTGTCTGTACGTTTGTGTGTCTCTCTCTCTATGTATAACATTATATAATATTACACCTTACTTAAAGGGTTAGTTCACCCAAAAATGAAAATTCTGTCAGTATTTACTCACCCTCATGTTGTTCCAACCCCGTAAGACCTTCGTTCATCTTCGCAACACAAATTAAGATATTTAAGATATTAAGATCGCTCCTGCATACAGTCCATAGGCTTCTTGAGGGAATGACTCTTGCTGGCATCGAAAAGTCATTAAAGACATCGTTAAAATAGTCCAAGTGACTACAGGGGCTCAATCTTAAGTTTATCAAACGACGAGAACACTTTTGTGCGCAAAAACAACAAAAATAACGACTTTATTTCAACTATTGGTTTATTTCTCCCTCTGCGCGAGTCAGGTTACTAGTTTAATAGCGTAAGCTTCTGTTATTGTACGTCACACGCATCACACACATGACCAGCGTCGGCCAATAGTGAGCCTACGAGTGACGTAGCTTTACGCAATCACACTACGTTAACTGACTACAGGCCCATGGAGAAGGAAGTGAATAGTTGAAATAAAGTCGTTATTTTTGTTGTTTTTTTGCGCACAAAAAGTGTTCTCGTCGTTTGATAAAGTTAAGATTAAGCCCCTGTAGTCACTTGGACTATTTTAACGATGTCTTTAATGACTTTTCGAGGACAGCAAGAGCCAGTCCCTCAAGAAGCCTATGGACTGTATGCAGGAGTGATCTTAATATCTTAAATATCTTAATTTGTGTTGCGAAGATGAACGAAGGTCTTACGGGGTTGGAACAACATGAGGGTGAGTAAATACTGACAGAATTTTCATTTTTGGGTGAACTAACCCTTTAAATCTAAATGTACGAATTAAATTAAGTGTACAAATTAACAGTGTAAAAAAATAAATACAAATAGAACAGTTTTTGAACGTTTCAAAGATTTTAGAATTCAGTGTGTAAGTGTTTTCGTGTGTGTGTGTGTGTGTGGGGGCGCATCACTGATTAGTCGTCAACTCTCTTTTTGTGACGAGCATCGACGTATCTGGCTTCTAGTGTGTGACACAATCTCTTTTTTTCACCTAATAGATGTTGAAATTGTGTTTTGTTGCTTTATTTTATCAAGTTTATTTCTCTCTCTCCTCCAGTTCTGGCAGTTCGGCGAGTGGCTGGACGTGGTGATTGATGACCGGCTGCCGGTGAAGGATGGGAAGCTGTTGTTCGTCCACTCGGCGGAGGGTGGAGAGTTCTGGAGCGCTCTGCTGGAGAAGGCCTACGCCAAGTAAACATCCATTCATTAAGCACAGTAAACACTAAAATAGGGCCCTATTTTAATGCACGTTAGACATTGCACATAACACACACACAAAAAAGAGAGAGAGAAATAGTAAAAGATAGGGACTGATGAGATGTGGGGGAAGGTTATCTTATATTATCAGTGGTGGAGGAAGTACTGAATCTCAGTACTAAAGTAAAAGTACAAATAACCAGATAAATATTTACTTTAGTAAAAGTAGAAGTAACACAATGACAACCATACTTAAGTAAAAAGTAAAAAGTGGCTGATTTTAAAAGTACTTTAAATATTAAAAGTAAAAGTACTTGCATAATAATTGATTCTCTTAATGACTATTTTCTAATGATTAATAAAACATTTAATTCTAACTCATTCAACCTAATACTCCTATAATGATGTTCAATAATGATGGAAAATTAAGTTGTCAACATTTCTGAAACAAGCTTGCAATTAGGCAATATAAACCATGCTTATCCTTACTATATGTTAATAACTATGTTTGGCAGTAAACGCGATTAATTTATGGTGTAATTCTGAACCTCTCGGCTTGCCATAATCCTAACCAAACGTATATTACACACGGTGTGTTTCCTATGCACGTAAAAACAAATTTTTGCGTATAAATTGCACGATAAACACACTGCGTGCGAGACGCATTTAGTTGATGTATCTATGGCAACCAAACGTCACTGGTGAGACAAACGTGCAACGAACGGACGGTCAGATTACGTTTTGTCAGGGGAAAAACTGATCAGATAATGTAATGAAAATGTAACAGAAGTTGTAGAAATGTAGTGGAGTAGAAAGTATAATAATTGCTGCAAAATGTAACGAAGTAAAAGTAAAAAGTATGCACTATTTATTCTACTTAAGTAAAGTAAAGATACATGAAAAATGTATTTAAGTAAAGTAACAAAGTATTTTGTACTTCGTTACATTCCACCACTGTATATTATCTTATTATATCATATTTTATTTTATTCAAGATTGACAATGGCAATCGTTACATAGGAGGAAGGATGGAAATAAAAATCGACGAATACAATTTGGGCAGTAGTGGGATGGTGATGGTAATGAAATTGGTAATAAATAATAAATGGTTACTTTGTTTACGCATACACACACATACACACTCAGATCAAACACTTAAATCACTCTTGTCTCTGCTGGAATTATGGATTTACAAGATTGCTCACTACTGCACTATGTTGGTTTGTATAAAAAAATAAATAAATAAAAAAAAGCACAGTAAACACTACAGTAGTTGATCCATAGCGCTTACAAATAAGATAAAACAATGAAAGGAAACATCAGCAATCAGAAAATCAGCAAATTTAACATACAAAGTAAAAAATGTTAGATTTAAACTCATTCACAGATAAGGGGAGACGACTGCAAATGCACGAATGCCTAACTGTCGGTGTGAACCGCGTCGGCTGAGTTTGTGCTGTGTTCTCCAGGCTGAACGGCTGTTACGAGGCTCTGTCGGGCGGCAGCACGTCCGAGGGCTTCGAGGACTTCACGGGCGGGGTCACGGAGATGTACGAGCTGAATAAAGCGCCCGCTGACCTCTTCAGCATCATCGGCCGGGCCGTGGAGAGAGGCTCGCTGCTGGGCTGCTCGATCGACGTGAGTGCCGACTCTCTCTCTCTCTCTCTCTTTCTCTAATGCTTCAGTGAGGCGCTAATGTAATCGCAAGCTGATTAGCCAATCAGAAGCCGCCTCATTATATATTCATGAGCTTTGTACGCCACAGAAGCTTGAATGCGTTTCGGATTCTGAGGTCTGTTGTGTTTCTTTGTCTTCGCAATACAGTTGCAATATTAACTTTATAATTATTTAGTTTGTTAAATAGGCCTGGGTATCAAGTTCGATACTTTTACGGCATCATTCATTCACACAGACAGAAATGTAATCTTCTTTAAAAGAGAGACACTATCCTCATATCACACAAGAAGCTCTACACTTCAACCCGTCAAAATACATAATGTGCATCTTAATGTAATATTACTATTACTGCTAATAATACTAATACTTATTATACAATTATCATTACAACTCATTTTCTTCCATGTTATTATAATTTTATTATGTTTTTTATTTGTGTTGCACTTGTTTGCCAAAAAAAAAATTCATGGGCTTTTTTAATTTTCATTTGAATAAAAGATAAATTATTGTGTTGTGCTTTCATTTGATGTGTAAAAAATGAAAATACACGACACAGAATTTCACTTTTTTTTTGTTAAAGCTTCGGCAGGTTTAGAGGAACAAGCTAATTTGGGTTTATTATTTTATTTCAGCTTTATATAAATTCTGGAAAATGATTTCAATATTTGTAGTTTTATTTAATGATCACAACACTGGTAAGATTATTCGGCTCATGTGTGTATTTGTGAGGTTGTTTAAGTTCATTATCTGATTTCATTACGCCTCTTATTGTCCTCAAGATCACCAGTAAGTTCGACATGGAGGCGGTGACCTTTAAGAAGCTGGTCAAAGGTCACGCGTACTCAGTGACTGGAGTGGAAGAGGTGAGACTTTAACACAAACACTTACTATACACAACAATAGGGCCAGTTTTACATGCAAAATATATTTCTTTGAGGTTTCTGTCATGCTTTCAAGTCGGATAAAGTTCCCAGGGAATGAAATGTGTGTGTGTGTGGTGTATAATTATTTAGTATTTAAAAATATATATGTATGCATGTATATATTTAAGACTTATTTGCACGTAAATACGGCATATATATATATATATATATATATATATAATTTTAAGGGGACAATAAAGTATATTCTATTTAATTCTATTCTAATTCCTAATCAAATCTGTGTTGATCAGGTGGTCTACAGGGGAAACATGACTAAACTGGTGCGCATCAGGAACCCATGGGGGGAGGTGGAGTGGACGGGGGCCTGGAGTGACAAGTGAGAAACAAAAGGATGAACTGATAGAGTGTGTTTTACTGTGATGACATTGCTCTGATGACCGGTCTGGCGTGTGTGTTCAGCTCTCGGGAATGGGACAATGTGGACCACTCCGTCCGGGGCCGATTACAGAACCGCAGCGAGGACGGAGAGTTCTGGTGAGTGGATCATGATCTGACAGATTTAGATTAGCAGTTAGTCCTGTAGTATTAGAAAAAAAGTCCCAAGATTTCCTTAGCAACACCCTAGAAACCACCTAGCAAACACTGGGCACACTTGTGGTTCTCAAGCATTCAAATTAGCTTAGTCTTAAGTCAGGGCTTGAAGTCAAAAAGCTTGAGAACCACCAGCAAGAACCTATTAATGCCTATGAACTGGGCAGAATACCTTAGCAACCACATAGCAACACCCTAGAAGCTACCAAGCAAACTACACAAATCACCTTAGCAAAGACCTATAAATATCCTATCAACCATTCAGACACTTTAGTAGATGCATGGCAACAACCCTAGAAAACACCCGAACCACCTGGCAACGACCTATCAATGCTCTATAAACAATCAGAACACTTTAGGAACTACATAGCAACAGCCCTAGAAACCACCCAAATCACCTGGTAACAACCTATTAATTCTCTAAAAATGTTAAGAACACATTAACAACCACCTAGCAACCACACAGAAAAGTCTAGATATGACCTATAAATGCCCTAAAAAAGTTTAGAAGAACTTAGCAACACCCTAGAGACCAGAAACCGCACAGAACACCCTAACAACGACCTGTAAATGGCCTACAAACTTTTCAGAACGCCTTAGCAATTCCCTAGAAACCAGAAACCACACAAAACACCCTAGCAATGACCTATAAATGCCCAACAAACTTTTCAGAACACCTTAGCAACACCCTAGAAACCAGAAACCACACAGAACACCATAGCAATGACCTATAAATGCCCTACAAACTTTCCAGAACACCTTAGCAACACCCTAGAAACCAGAAACCCCACAGAACACCCTAGCAATAACCTATATATGCCCAACAAACTTTTTAGAAAACCTTAGCAACACCCTAGAAACCAGAAACCACAGAGAACACCCTAGCAATGACTTATAAATGCCCTACAAACAGTTTAAAACACCTTAGCAATGCCCTAGAGACCAGGAACCACACATAACACCTTAGCAATGACCTATATATGCCCTACAAACTTTCCAGAACACCTTAGCAACACCCTAGAAACCAGAAACCACACAGAACACCCTAGCAATGACCTATAAATGCCCTACAAACTTTTCAGAACACCTTAGCAACACCCTAGAAACCAGAAACCCCACAGAACACCTTAGCAATAACCTATATATGCCCTACAAACTTTTTAGAAAACCTTAGCAACACCCTAGAAACCAGAAACCTCACAGAACACCCTAGCAGCGACCTATAAATGCCCTACAAACTTAGCAACAATATAGCAATGCCCTAGAAACCACAAAGCATCATGCCAACAAGTTTTGCTCTGGCAAATACCACTGACATTTTAAATGTACTAATTTTGTGCACATGCACACATTCTCTTTCATATTTGACCCAGCACCTGTGTAAATGAGTGTGTCTAGATCTTTAAGATTTGACAGTACCGGTCAGGCTTGCATCTCTCTCTCAGGATGTCGTTCAGTGATTTCCTGCGTGAGTTCAGCCGTTTGGAGATCTGTAACCTGACGCCGGACGCTCTCCAGGCGGGTCAGGTGAAGAAGTGGAGCACGTCGCTCTATCAGGGCGAGTGGAGGAGAGGCAGCACGGCTGGCGGCTGCAGGAACTTCCCAGGTACAGGACATCGCGGGCTCAGTGTTAGGGTTGGGAAATGTTTGGAATCGAAACTGAATCGATAAGCAGAATCTCAACTTGAATCACTAAAGTTCAAACGATACCCAACTTTAGTCAGCGTCTGCAAAATGGAGAAATCCTCATCATCCTCTTATGTTCCCATAAACCATAGCCACGTTCTGGATCAACCCTCAGTTCAAGGTGGCCTTAAAACATCCGGATTCTCCTGGCCAATCAGATTGCAGCTTCCTGGTGGCGCTGATGCAGAAGGACCGCAGGAAGAAGCGGAGAGAAGGAAAGGACATGGAGACCATCGGGTTCGCCATTTACGAGGTCCGAAAGCAGATCGCTCTTGTTTAGCTTGTCTGGAGTTAGTGTTCACTTGTTTTGGGCTCCGTTTGCTCTTTTTGATTGGTTATTTCTTTATTTTTGCAGGTGCCAAATGAGGTACGATGAGAGGCCTTTTGAATGTGAATTGAGATATTTCATAGTTTTGAAGGTCTTTAAATAATGTAGAACATGGAGAGAGAAAAGCATTTGGTCCGTAAAGGTAAATAAGATCATCTTGAGGACACTGGGTCTGTTTCACTAATAGTTGCATGGATTATTCATATTCATACTCGCACTTTGTACGCAGATTTCACACACAAATTCATGTGTGCTCATGATTAGTGTATGAGACCCAATGTTTGTCCAAAGCAACATCTAAAACAAGAAGACAGACACAGAAGACTGCTGTTTTGTGTCTTTCTCCGCTCAGTATTTGGGTAGGTCGGCTGTGCACCTGAAGCGGGATTTCTTTCTCAGTCACGCGTCCAGCGCTCGCTCTGAGCTCTTCATCAACCTGCGGGAGGTGAGCTCACGCTTCCGTCTGCCGGCCGGCGAGTACATCATCGTACCGTCCACCTTCGAGCCCAACAAAGAGGGAGACTTCGTGCTCAGAGTGTTCTCCGAGAAACCAGCCAACTCAGAGTAAGTCCTGCGGGAACTAATCATTCATTTCACAGCATTAAACAGCTAAAAGCGACAGACAAACAGCTAAAAACGACAGATAAACTGCTAAAAACACAGATAAATGCTAAAAACGGTGGATAAACTGCTAAAACATTGATAAACGGCTAAAAACGGCAGATAAACAGCTAAAAAAGGCAGATAAACTGCTAAAAATACAAATAAACAGCTAAAAACGGCAGATAAACAGCTAAAAACAGAAATAAACTGCTAAAAACACATAAATGCTAAAAACGGCTTTAAACTACATTAGTTGGAATAAAAATTAGGTGCGTTAATAAGGTAAACTGCTAAAAATACAAATAAACAGCTAAAACACAGATAAACTGCTAAACACGACAGATAAACAGCTAAAAACGACAGATAAACAGCTAAAAAAGGCAGATAAACTGCTAAAACATTGATAAACTGCTAAAAACGGCAGATAAACAGCTAAAAAAGGCAGATAAACAGCTAAAAATACAAATAAACAGCTAAAAACGGCAGATAAACAGCTAAAAACAGAAATAAACTGCTAAAAACAGATAAATGCTAAAAACGGCTTCAAACTACATTAGTTAGAATAAAAATTAGGTGCGTTAATGAGGTAAACTGCTTAAAAATACAAATAAACAGCTAAAACACAGATAAACTGTTAAAACGACAGATAAACAGCTATAAAAGGAAGATAAACTGCTAAAAATACAAATAAACAGCTAAAAACGGCAGATAAACAGCTAAAAACAGAAATAAACTGCCAAAAACAGATAAATGCTAAAAACTGCTTTAAACTACATTAGTCGGAATAAAAATTAGGTGCGTTAATGAGGTAAACTGCTAAAAATACAAATAAACAGCTAAAACAGACAAACTGCTAAAAACGACAGATAAACAGCTAAATAACGACAGATAAACAGCTAAAAAAGGCAGATAAACTGCTAAAAATAAACAGCTAAAAAACGGCAGATAAACAGCTAAAAATACAAATAAACAGCTAAAACACAGATAACCAGCTAAAAAACGGCAGATAAACTGATAAAAATACAAATAAACAGCTAAAAACGGCAGATAAACAGCTAAAAACGACAGATAAACAGCTAAAAAAGGCAGATAAACTGCTAAAAATAAACAGCTAAAAACAGCAGATAAACAGCTAAAAACACAAATAAATGCTAAAAACGGCTTTAAACTACATTAGTCGGAATAAAAATGAGGTACGTTAATGAGGTAAACTGCTAAAAATACAAATAAACAGCTAAAACACAGATAACCAGCTAAAAAACGGCAGATAAACTGCTAAAAATACAAATAAACAGCTAAAAACGGCAGATAAACAGCTAAAAACAGAAATAAACCGCTAAAAACACAGATAAATGCTAAAAACGGCTTTAAACTACATTAGTCGGAATAAATATGAGTTACGTTAATAAGGTCCAGAATTACCTTTTATTCTGCACAGAAAATTTTATATATGGCTGTTTTGAAAATATAATATGACTATTTTTTCACAAAAAAAGATATGCATTTTATGGTAATGAAAATTGCCTTATCTGTTTTAACTGTTTAACAGCGGTTATTTAACATCATATATTATCCATGTTTTTGTTTTAGTGGACTTGAAAGGCAAGGAATGTGTCTGAATATGTCTCTCCGGCTTTCTAACTAAACTTTTTTGAAGATTACCAACATGTCTTTAATAGACCATTTGTGTCTCTCTCTGAATTGAATCGCTTTGCATTGTCAGTGAGAAAACGCGTAGCAGATTATTGCACTAAATTAAACCATTATTTTAAACCTCTTAAACTGATATCCTGTAGTTTTATTGACTCACTAGAAGAAGCTTTATTTTTCATTAGTGCTGTCAAGTGAAGGAAAACATCACTGACGGGCTGATGTTGTGTTTTGTCTTTGTGCTCTTCAGAGAAATGGATGATAAAGTCACGGCTGATATTCCCGAGGAGGTGAGATGATCAGCTATATCTATATTTAAGTAATAAGATCAGTAAGATTACACTGCGTTGTTGATATAGTGTTGGCTAAAGGCTAGCACATGGAAACGAGATGTTTCATCTCATGGGGCTGATCCTCTAATAATGTTCATAAATAAAAATAAATAAATGTGTGAACTAAGTTTAATAGTATTTAATGCAGTGATATTTAATCAGTCAATCATTACAGACGCAGTATTCTCTCTCGTTCTCTAGCAACATCTGCAGGAGAGTCAGATTGATGCCGGGTTTAAGAGTCTCTTCAGACAGCTGGCTGGACCGGTGAGACACACACACACACACACACACACACACACACACACACACTTGTTGTGTGCAGATGTTCAATATTATGATGCACTGCTCCAGAAATCATGTGTGAGTGTGTTTTCCAGGACATGGAAATCAGTGTGACGGAGCTGCAGACCATCCTGAACCGAATCATCTCCAAACGTGAGATCATACACACACACACGACACACACTTTAGCTTTGATTTCCGAACCGTAGCTGTCCAAGATTACATGGAATTAAATAACGGTTAATCAATCGATAGCACATGTGATCCTGCACCACAAAACCAGTCACATGGGTCATTTTTGTGAAATTCAGATTTATACATCATCTAAAAGCTGAGTAAAGAAATTTTATCACATTAAAAAAATAGATACGACCTCACGTTATGTCAATCACACTTGCACACTGCCTTGAAACTTTCATCCGTCATAATAAAAATTAGATTGGTTCGATTTTCTGCATTTTTCGCATCCGTAGCGAGCAGTTTGAACGGTGTTTTGACAATTCAAAGCCGCCGAATCACGAGTACGAAAAAACACACACATATTTCTGACTCGGTGTGCAAGGGCCTTAAATGGGCTTTCCATCGTTAGGATACGACACATATACAATTATTTAAATGTGAAATCTGAGGGTGCAAAACAATCGAAACATTCCTTTAAAGTTGTGCATTATGTTCGCGATTGTGTTGCGTTCACTCACAAAAATGGGACATGATCTTTATTTAAAGGGGGTGCCATGTCTTTAAAATTCGAACACATTATTCTCTATTGGCGTACACGCTCGTCTGTCCGCGTTCAAAACCCTGCTGCGCCACAGAGCGCCATTTACATACTTTTACATTAAATTTACATTTATTTGTCTCAAATCGTCGTTAATGTACATGGCTTCACACTGTGCTGTTTTCACTCGCGTTAGCTAAACGCTAGCTAAATAAATGCTATTGTATTTTGTGACATAGTTGCCTAGACAACGGATAACGCTACAACAAAATAACAGATTTAACGATTAACGTTCAAACATCAGCTATTATTATTCAATCAACATAAATTTTTTTTTAATAAATCAAGTTAAAACTCACACATCGTGCAACTCTTCTACTCACTCTCTTGCTCGATTCTATGAAGATTTGTTACTAATTTGCATAAATCCAGCCTGTGGTTTTCATTGGCTGCCGGGGAGTAACGTCTCCTTTGCCCCGCCCCCAAGCACTGTAGCTGAGACTGGAAGAGTTTGGGTTTGTGTTGTTTTTTTAAAGCACTTCCAAAGGACGAGAACGAGCTTGATTCGATAAATTGACATGTTTTGTTCCCGACACATGCTATAAGTAATCGACCAATCTCAACAGACAGGATAATCAACCAATCAGAGCAGAGGAAGGCTCTCAGAAAGGCGGGGTTTAGAGAGACCGAATCCTTTATCGAACCGTTTCAGACACTGAGAGAAAAGAGCTGATTCTGTAACGTGTATTATGAGAAAATGCAAGTGTGTTTTGAGCTTGGATGCCGGATCTATTGTAGGAGACTCACAAACAAAATGAGTTTTTTTATTTGGGAGTTTAACATCCCAAACAAACTTTTAACATTGCACTGAACACTCGTCTGCGTTTGTGTGTTTATTCCACAGATAAAGATTTAAAGACAGACGGCTTCGGGAAGGAGTCCTGTCGGAGCATGATCAACCTCATGGATGTATCCTTTCCACAGCTTTAGTTCGACTCAGGTGGTCTTCGGTCATTTCTGACCGAAAAATTTTCTGTTTTGAATTTCTAAAAATCACAGCTTCATCGGAATGTTATGAAACTTGGTGACTTTTATGGCATTATGTATGTGAACACACAAAAAAATAGAGGTCATGATCCGAGCATGCTAAGTGGTCGTAAAAAAATAGTCACACTCGTGGACCGACGCATAGGAAATGAATGGGAAATTGAGAACAAAAAAAAATTCTCTGAATTATTGTACATGCAATCTACAAATCAGCCACAATTCTAAAAAGAAGTACACCGCAGGAAAGGGGTGACACTAGGGGTGGGCGATATGGAAAAAATATCATATCACGATTTTTTTAGGAAAATCACGATCACGATTTTTTATCACGATTCTTTTTCAAGTTGGTTTTAATATTTTGCAAGTGGCTGTAATGAAAAAAATAAATAAATAAGACAAGATAAACATTACACAAATTAATATTCATATTAAATAAATAGTGCTTTATTTTTTCAGATGCAGTAGGTGTATTTAGCAGTAGCATTGAAGTAATTAAATGAACAAATATGAAATTAAAACACTACATAGACTTCACTGAATAAATCGATTCTTATTAAAGATATATTAAAGTTCTCAGTCAGTGAGTGATTTTCTTCTTGTGTTTTTTTTGTTTTATTAACACTAAAGGGATAGTTCCCTCAAAAATGTAAATTGTCTTAATTTACTCTCTCAAGATGTTTTAAACCCAAATAAGTTTCTTTCTTCTGTTGAAAATAAAAGTTATTTTGAATAATGTGGGTAACCGAACAGTTGCTGGTCCCTTATAGTTTTTTTAATAAGTTCTCTCCTGGAAGTTAATGGGGACCAGCAACTGTTTGGTTACCCACATTAAAAAAAAATTGTCTTTTGTGTTCAGCACAAGAAAGAAATTAATACAGGTTTGGAACAACATTAAAGTGAGTAAATAATGACGGATTTTTTTTTTTTTTTTTTTTTTGTGTGTGTGAACTGTCCCTTTAAGGACAAGCGGCAGTACTATTTATTCCTGTCGCTTTTAGACCAGCACGCGACGCGTTTAATATAGACGCATATTACACCAGATATTCTCTCAAATGTTTGCTTTCACTTTAGACATAGCCTGTTTATGTAAACATTGTGTGTATTTAACAGTATTAGCATAATAAGACTCGAAAGATAACTTAGTCCAGTATTCAGGCGCTGTTTGACAGACTTCTAGTGCCTGTGAGCGTCGGGGGTTATGCGGTCAGGAAAGCGCACGTTAGAACAGCGCATCAGCGCGTGAATTAAATGTTTAACCGGCAAGGCTTACGCAAATAATGAACTTTTGTGAATTGCAGTGTCCCGTACCCAGGGGCGGTTTCTTCATTGGGGCGATTGGGCGACGCACCACCAAAGTGTGAATCACATTCGCAATCTCATTCAACCAGAGAGTTACGCTAGCCATCACTATATAGTCCAATCAGCGTCATGTCACGTTCTGTGGAGTACCGCCTCTTTTTGGGCGATTTCACTCTGGCTGAAAATCGCCCAGAGTGTTCCCATAGACTTACATTCAAAGATGTTTTTTTCGAACTGCAGGCACTGCAACGCATTCTCTATGGGTTCCGGGAGGGCTCGCACTAACGTGCTTACATCATCATACGTATCCTTAACTTGTGCAGCGATTGGTGGGAACAAACATACACTATTAAAAATCTTTAATATTAAGTGACAAATAATATTTTAAAACAATTTTGAATTCAAACAGCAACAATAAAAAAATGAAACACTACTTAATTATCTTTATCAAATTGATTTAAAAAAAAAAAAGCGAGAGCGAGAGAGACTGTTGGGACATCTCGCGAGTTGTGGCTACAGACAGTTGAACTTGAACAACGCCATGGCGAACACAGTCCTTTAGAAGCCTACACAGCAAATTTCAGGAGTTGAAAAGTCATGAGTTAGGCAAAAAAGAGTTACTTTTGAGTTATTTTTTTTTAACTCTGACTACACTTTGTGTTATTGGATACTCCGGCTGTGTTGTATTTTGGAGTTCATTCATTGGTGTTCAGGAGTGTGTTTTGGTTTAACACTAGCTACACCTGGAGTTATTTTTGAGAAATGCGCCACGACACGACCCTGCCGCTGGATAAAGGAATAATGGACTTATGTGCCTCGTCGTGAGGTAGGTAAAAGAGTATATAAAACTATTTAAAAATGTTCTATATTTTCTGACAAACACGTTTGGTCATCGCGTTGCTGTTACGTTATAGGCTAGTTATACTGTTTACTAACGTCAACGATTATGACAAACTTGCTGTTGAACGTTTGTTTACTTGTTTCAAATTTTGAAATGACTATTTGCGTGGGGTTTTTGTCGATGTAAACGAGTTAACATTAGCTAACCGTCTTTCCATTCACCGTGTTTCTGAAAATGAGTGTTTACCGTGAAATTGATGCATCAATGCATTACAGACATACGTGGTTTCACAATTGCAGTGTCTAACGTTACCCTGGAAAATAAGATATAACGTTAGTTGTGCTGTGTAGGCCTGCAATGATTTGAATTGTAACAGCTATAACGTTAAGCTACGTATTAGTGGTGACCCACGATCACGATGTGCGTGATTTTCAGCTAATATATTTTTGCATTCTCAATGAATGGTGCTAGATTATGCCTCATACTGTTGTTTTTGTGATCTTCAGATACGACTGTCCTGCAGACAACCGGTTGAAGGTTACTCCTCCTCAAATCTGAACCAAATGGATTTGCTGAAATAAAGGCAGTAAATCAAGAATATGGTGTTCAGTGTAGTAATTTTCACACAAAACATTATATTGTGTTAAATAAATGTTAACTCTAAGAAGTGTTAAACTAAATATTTTTTAAGTGTTACTTTTTAACACTGGCAATAAGTTCATATAATTATTTTTAGAGTTACATTTACGCTCCGTAGGTTTAGTATTTTAACTCCATAAATTTTAACTCTGAAAAAGTGTTAAATTCAACTCCAAGAGCAGTTATTTTAACTCTGCGCTGGAGTCTATTTGATGGTCTCACATGTACACTCAGATTGAGTTGATTTTAACTAACGGAGTTTATTCCAAAAAACAGAATTTGCTGTGTATGGAGGAGTGATCCAGCTCTTAGATATAATCAAAAATATCTTCATTTGTGTGCCGAATCTCTTTAATGTGATGTAATAAGTGTAATAATAGTGAGTATAGAAACAATAAGATTTATTGTTATTAAGTCACTTTATTAGTCATTAATATTAAAGTGAAGTTGACTTTACATGCTTAAGCTTTTAATTTATCCATTGCATGGGTGGGCCTTGTCCTTATCAATCATCCAAATATTTGCCCCCCCTGCAAGATTTTGCAGGAGCCGCCACTGCCCGTACCTATTCATTAACGTGTGATCATGTGTAGGCTACGTCGCGTTATACAGTTGAGACGGCGCCAGAACTGATAGAACGCACTGTAACACGATACTACGATATTTCTTCAAAAGCAGATCGTGGAGACATTTTAATCGTCCACGATTAAAAATCGTCATATCGCACACCCCTAGGTGACACTCTACAACATCTAGAGTGCAAAACAGACAAACCCACCCACACACACACACATACAAACACACTTTTATACACATACACACCAATAAATTTTGATTACAAAAAGTATGTTTTGAATTTTTAAAAATCACAGCTTCATCGCGATGTTACGAATCTTGGTGACTTTTATGGCATTATGTATGTGAACACACAAAAAAATTGAGGTCATGATCTGAGCATGCTAAGTGGTCTTAAAAAAAATAGTCACACTTGTTGTCTTTGGTCAAAAATGACCCCAATAGGAAATTGACAAACACAAAAATTCACAAATTTTTATTTATTATTATTATTTTTTTTTTTACATTTTTTAAATAAAAAATCGTTTTTGAGATTGTTTCAATTATATATTCAAATCCACAAAACAAATAAATAAATGTGTTCATAAACAGCTGGGGAATTCACATGCTTCTCCTTAGAGAGCTGTAAATGCCATCTAGTGATTACACCATGATTCAACGCTTTTTCTCTATACTGTAACCAGATGGTGCTAATTTTCTTCAAAAAATATTTTTTTTCTGAAGGCCTAGACTCTATATTAAACTAAAATACTGCATTAATAATTTTTTTGGAAAAAATTATATATATAGAAAAATATATATATTTTTCCATGGCAAAAATAGACCATAAATATTGCATAAATATTAATAAATTCAATCAAATTGTCTCACAATACTAAATTACAAAGAATAAATATTATAGAACAAAAATAAATTACATTGGTTTTACTGGGAAGGAGGAAATTAAATTTTTTGGTGTCTGGTCACTTTTGACCGGGAAGACTTTTCGACTTTTCGACTCCGAAACGAAGAGCAGCTGAGGGTTAATGCACAAGAGGATAAATCATTTTTGCTGATGTCAGCAGATACATTTGGCCAATGCAGTGTCTTAATGTCAAGTCTTGTCCGCTTTCACAGTTCTTGCTTTATTTCCACTGGTCTTGCTCTTATTGTCCTTGACATGCTTCAGGCGGACGGCAGCGGGAAGCTCGGACTCACAGAGTTTCATGTGTTGTGGGAAAAGATTAAACGCTACCTGGTGAGATGATGCTCTATTATACTCACGGTCCTCAGTGAAGGTCAACACATTTACACATCAGCAGCCAATCAGTGTTCAGAAGCTGGAACGGGACATTGTCTTTAGCCAATCACATGCCAGGATAAACCAGATAATATTATTTCAAAGCAGCTGCAGGTTATTAATAAACAGGAAAATAACACTGTTAATGTTGCAAAGTCACAGACATTAAGGACATAAATGTGCTTGCCGACTTCATATTCCAGTTATTCCTGTTCACAGCAAATCTTCCGAGACCACGACCTGGATAAATCGGGCACCATGAGCTCGTACGAGATGAGGAGAGCCCTGGAAGCGGCAGGTACACTGACTTCCTGTTTCTTCTGCTCTGTGTCTGTCCTCCTCGCTCACCTCTTCCTCTCTTTCTCCAGGGTTTAAGCTGAACAACCATTTATTCCAGCTGATCATCCTGCGCTACACGGAGCAAGACCTCTCTGTGGACTTCGACAACTTCGTCACCTGTTTAGTGCGCCTGGAGACCATGTTCAGTGAGTCCGACTGGGACCAAATATTACAGTTTTGTTATTCAATAATGCGCAAAGATTATATGGAGAAAATAATATATACACAACGGTTCAAGAGTTTGAGGTCAGGAAGATTTTTATACTTTTATTCAGCGGGGATGCATTCAATTTATGACTGTAAAGAAGTGACAGTAAACCTGCGTTAGTTTTCCTAATGATTTTAATTGGCTTTTTATTTTCATTTTATGTGTTTTAGTAATGGTAATTCATTTTATTCAATATTGGTAATTCAATATTTTTTTTCAAATATTGCTATTTAGGTTTAAGTTGTTTTTATTTTAGCTTTTATTTATTTCCGGTTTTTAATTCAAGTGCTTAAACTTAAACTTATTTCAGTTTTTTTTTTGACCAGGCAAAACTTATTTAGTTAAGTTTTTCAACTAATACTTATTGCAGCTTTATTTCAATAATTTAATTATTTAATAATAATTGAATAATTTTAGTTTTAGTTAACAATATGAACCCTGCAGTAAAGACATTTATAATGTTTCAAATAAATGCTGTTTTTCATAAGAATTCTGAAAAAAAAATGTTTTCACAAAAATATGAAGCAGCGTGACTGTTTTCAACATTAATATTAATTATAAGTGTTTCTTAAGCAGAAAATCATCATATTAGAGTGATTTCTGAAGGATCATGTGACTGAAGACTGGAGTAATGATGCTAAAAATACAGCTTTGATCACAGGAATAAATTACAGTTCACTAGATATTCACATAGAAACAGTAATTTTAAATTTTAATAATATTTAATAATTTTTACTGTTTTTACTGCATTTCTGATCAAACAGAATAGTAATATACAGTAAATTCATGTAATTGAGTATTCTGCTGTTTTCATAACTACAAATCATTAGATGAACATATCTAAACAAAATCGTTGTCTAATAATACAGTGATTCTGTCATAAAACTGATGTCTGTGTTTTCCAGAGACCTTCAAAACGATGGACACAGACGCAGACGGGGTCGTGTCGCTCACGTTCTTCGAGGTTTCACTTCATTTCTCACACACACTACTTCTGCTTTACCTGGTGCTCAACATCAGCGGCCACACACACTTTACATGAAGCCTGAAACAACACATGTGAAGGAAACAAGCATTTGCGTTTCTCTGTTTGCTCTAACACGATGTCTCTCTCTCTCTCTCTCTCTCTCGCTCGCAGTGGATCTCTCTGACCATGTTTGCCTGAAATGGACACATTTCCACCCTTCGTCTGCACTGAGACGTCTAGGAAGTGCCTTCATTTCCACACATCTTCAACGCACTTCTAATGGACAGATAGCCTTAAGTCACGAAGCCCTGTTTACATCGACTTCAATCAGAGCGTGGACAATACAGTGCCAATCGTGAGTGTTCCTGAAGCCAAGAGAAGCTCTATCACACCATTCACAGCATGTTTTACTCATTCTGGATCCAGCTGCATGCGTTTTTCGTTTACACTTTACGTGCCAAATCAATCATTGCCAATTTCAATCATTCTCAGCTGTTTTTAAATCAAGTTTTATGATCTTGAGCTGCATATTTTTTCAGTGAATGCCATATCTGAATGTTGTACACCTAAGGAATGCTGTATTAGAAACGCACGTGTGCATTTGAGCCCAGCTTTACTTACAGAAAGTGTTTGTTTGGACTGAAGTTTATGCAGCTGTTTTATGGGACAAGCCAAAGGATCTTTTATCAAGCTCAAAGGGACATGCATTTTTATTTTCTATACAGTACTTAAGTTCTGTTTTATATGAGCAATTCAAAACCTCTATTCAATACAACAGGAGCAACAGAACCAACAGATCGAATCTGATATACAGAACCACGAGACTGAACCTTTTTTTTACTATACAACGATGAAAAGGTGGAGGAATCTCTTCTTTTTTTTTAATGCCAATCAGCAGGTTTTACAAAATATTTTTTTCCTTTGTCGATTCATTTTTGTGGGGTTTCTTTTCAATAAACTTTCTTTTGAAAAAAAAAAAGGACAAAAGTGTTTTTTTTTACTCATTAGTTTTTGTCAAATGTTTCTGGTGTGGGTCTTAATATCTCGCGTGTTTTAATGTCTGTTGAAATGATGGCACTGCATTGCCCCATCCTACAAAATAATATAGCCTATTTAATCTTATACTATTTTAAACAGCATATTATTAATATATGTATAATTATTATTATCCATGCAGTTTTATATTATGTTGAATATACAATTAATTTGGCTGGCGCTGAAACTATTAATTTTAGCTATAAAAATGATCAAACAGTCAGCAGCTTAAAAAATATCTTTAACATTCATGTAGAATTTATAGACAACTAGAGATCTATAACAAGATTTGTCACTACAGAAACTGGTAGTTTGATATTAGATTATGTATTAGTAAATAAAATAGAATTTGATATTTATACAAAGACAATTTTTTTTTTACTTGGTTAATTTTAAAATACTAAGGTATTAAATTGAACCAAAATGTTTACACTGGTTTCAGGCCATATTTCATATTTATTAGTAATGATGTATTACACGAACGTTGTATTTTGTGGAAATTATGGCATGTGGCTTTTATTTTGAAATGAAAGTGCACCACGCTTAGAGTTCCCTGCTTTGTTTACAGCGTTTCTCTTTAGTTCCGCAGTGCGATCATGAACTCTCTGTCGCAGGAGATCGAGGGATTCTCCGCGGCGCGTCTGAGGAAGCAGACCACGCGCGTCACGACCGTGACTGGCGAGAAACTCGTCGAGACGCGACGCGGCGATGATTTCTACGTCACGCGCGACACGGAGCGCGAGAGTGACGCGGCGTGCGGGTTCGTGCAGGACTTGAACCTGGACCTTCAAGTGGGCATGATAAGACCCTTCCTCCTGCTCTGTGCGTTATGTCTTTTATGTCTATTTGCAATATTTATTGTGAAAGCCCGACACAACTCCCACTTTTGGGTAAAGTGATGGTAATACCATTGTACTATAGTAATTATTGGCTACTAAATGTATCAACACAACAGTATCTAAATAAACATGCCATTAACATATTACTTTCTGTGGAACGAGGTTAATCTAAGGTGACACAATAGAATTTTATAATCTACAGCTAGTTTACAATGAAAAATGAATTCAAACTTGAAAATAATGTTGGCAGATTATGATATATATATATATAAAATACTATCACATTTATGTATTAATCTGTCTACTTTTTATTTTTTAGCATCCCAGGATGCAGCTCATGATATAGAAACTTTGAAAAAGTTAAAGGTAAGGTAACAAGGTTTTTACTGTTATTTTATATAATTTTCTAATTATATAAACGTCATAAAATTATAGGCCAGCTTATTTTTTTAATTTAATTAATCTTACATAAAAGTTTTTGTTTATATTGTATATATATATATATATATATATATATGTATATATATATATACAGTATATATATATATGTGTGTGTGTGTGTTCTATAAATACACACACACAAACATATATACATGCATAAATGGGTGTGCACTGCACACACAAACACACACACACACACACACACACACAATTATATACATATATGATAATAATATACACGCACATGTATCTGTTGTGTTTTAGGTGACTCATGTGCTGAATGTGGCGTGTGGGGTTCAGAACGTGTTTCCTAATCTCTTCACATATAAGACTGTTACCATGATGGATATTCCTGAGACAGACATCACCTCACACTTCCCTGAATGTTTTCAGTTCATAAAGGAAGCCAGTCAGCAGGTGTGTGTGGAAGATAGACAGATGTGTGTGTGTGTGTGTGTGTGTGTGTATCTATAAGCTCTGTTCTGCATGTTCTTCAGGATGGAGTGGTGCTGGTCCACTGTAATGCTGGAGTGTCTCGATCTGCTTCTGTCATCATCGGGTTCCTCATGTCCCAGGAGAAGATGTCGTTTGAGGAAGCCTTCAGCGCTGTGAAAACTGCCCGGCCTTCCATCCAGCCAAACCCAGGCTTTATGAATCAGCTGAAGAAATATAATCCATAATGCCATACAAACATTGGGACTGATCAGAGGTTTCTGTAAACCCTATTCTTCTGTATATATTATTATTTTTTCTCAATATGTTTGTTTTTTACTTGTTGCATTAATAAAACATTTGCCATTGCTGCCCATTTATCGATGGTCTTTTGAGGTTTAATGGGTGACTTTTATTTTGAAATGCACTAAGACCGGAAACTGATCAACCGTTCAATCCGCGTTCACGTCACAACACAGTAACTGAAGGGACTTTGGCAAAATAAACGAATTAATTATATTAGTCTCCTTTTTTAATACACATTTTAATGATATATCGAAGGGATATAAGTATGTCGCGTGAACTCTCTATCCAGAAACAACTGCTCACAATAATGGACAGTTTAGTCTCATCTATAGTGACAGAAATTTGTCAACTTGATATTTTTCAGTCAAAATGTCAAAATGGAAACACAGAAACTGATATTAAATTGGTAAGTCCGTTCAAATGTGTCATTGTTGGAAAAAAAATGTATTAAAAATCGCTAAGAATATGAAGTTTGACCATTTCACTAAAAATGACCGTGGTAAACAGTTAACGTTAATTCTAAAAACAACTTAATGATACCATAGTTATAGTTATTTTCATCGCTGTAAAGTTATAAATAATTAATATGAAGTCTCCTTAGCGTCTGTTATTTTGTTTTCTTTTATAATAAGCATTTTGTTCACTAATAGCAATATTAAACCGCCACAGTTTGTACTTACAGAAACATTTTGTTGCTAATAAATAACGGTAAACTTTTTAAAGAAATGTGTTCAGTTGAAATATTATTGCTCGTATTAAAACAACTTTGTGGCTTTTGAATTCAAATATTGTCTTAATATATTTTGAAGCTTTAGCCTAATCATTGATATTACATGCTTAGTTACATTTAATGTGTTAAAAAGTTAGTCAAGCTGAATTTTTAACATTACCTTCACAGTTATAGTGACTGAAATGTGTTGTTTGCTTCAGAAAAATCTGACAGATGCAATAAGGAAAATAATAAACTCAACAGCTGAACACATCTGCACAATCCTTCATAACGCATCAACTGGACGAATAAAAAATGCCAAAGATGAGGAACATGTCAAAGGTGGTTCTTATCATAAATAAATCATGTATTAAATGATGTTTTAAATGATTAAACAAGAAAAATACATTGTTGTAGAAGGAAACCATGAAGACATCACCTCAGGAATCCAGGATTGCACCACATTTGGTGAAGATCTTCCTCAGACTGTTGAAGTAAACCACATCCTGCTGTAATTGTTTGCAATATTAATAAAAAAAGGCTTTACATTAAACTAACATAGTCTTGTATTTATCTAGGGCAAGCCTGAGTTTACATTTGAAGAAGCCTTTGGCCATGAAGAGGAACAAGCAGAGTGTCAATCTCCTTCTCTTGACGGTATGTTTGTCATGGACATTAATGCATGAGGTGTAATATTAATGTGAGGCCTAAATATCCAATATCACATCTGTAAACATTAGGGATGTAAAGATACCCTCATGTCATGATTTGATACATATCACTATACTGAAATCTTTTTGCGAGACAAAAGTGTTAAATTTAATTAAATTGCTAACTTTTATTTGACATTGTGGGTGTAAATGAATAGGCATGGTGTGGAAACCCAAAGCACAGGACAATAGTGACACCAGAATACAAATATACATGATTCAGAAGCTAAAAATACTGAATTATTATAGCTAGACGAACATGCTCACACTTTTTCACTGACTAGATATATTTAAAATAATGTGTAACATCAGAAATTTGTCATTACCATTGCATTATTAAACATTATATTCAACATAGTTTAATGTAGTACTCACACTAAAACTCTGAAAACTAAAACAATTTCTCACAAAGTCATTTTTATATTAGTCGAACTATTCACAATTCATACATATTGTTTCATTTTTGTATTGTGATGTATTGTTACACCCCTAATGTTCATGTTGCAGATTCAGTAAAGCCCAGTGAATCTTTAGACCATCAACGAGAAGAACCAAACCAATCAAACTCCAAAGACACATCGGTCCAGTTGAACATACCCGACATTATCGGCACAGGATCGGATGTAACCACAGACACCACTGAAGAAGTGCAGCTGAATGCAGATGAGCACACATGCAGAACCTGTGGGAAAACCTTCACCTTCCTCAGTAACTTGAGGAGACACCAGCAGAAGCTCCACAGTGGAGAAACTCCTCACGCTTGCCAAGAGTGTGGCGAGCACTTCGCCCACCGACGCCTCCTCCAAATCCACCGGAGGATCCACAAGGTGGAGAAACCTCACGAATGCGAGCTCTGCGAGAAGACGTTTCGCTTGCCAAACCACTTGAGGAATCACATGACGAGTCACGGTGACGAGAGACCGTTCACCTGTTCCACATGTGGCAAGAGCTTCACGCTGAAGAGCATCCTCAGATCTCACGAGCGAACACACGGCGGCGAGAAGAGGTTTGTGTGCCTGCAGTGCGGTTCCCGGTTCCTCACCAAATCTTACCTGGATTACCACCAGCGGGTTCACACCGGAGAAAAGCCGTTCCCGTGCAAACACTGCGGGAAGAGCTTCGCTCAGAAGGGGAACCTCAAGGCACACGAAAGACTGCACACGGGCGAGCAACCCTTCAGGTGCGAGGACTGCGGGAAAACCTTCGTACACTCGAACACGTTCAAATCCCACAAGCAGCTCCACACGGGAGTCAGAGCCTTCTGCTGCGAGCTCTGCGGGAAGGGCTTTCGGCGAGGAACGCACCTCAAGACGCATCTACTCACGCATTCTGGAGACAAACCGTTCAGTTGCGACGTATGTGAGAAGACTTTCACTCTCAAGGGCTCTTTGAAGACCCACAAGCTCACTCATACGGGACAGAAGGGTTACGCGTGTGACGTCTGCAATAAGAGCTTTACTCAGGCCAGTTCGCTGGGGAAACACCGACGGGTTCACACCGGAGAGAAGCCGCATCGCTGCCGGACCTGCGGCAGGGCTTTCTCTCAGAGCAGCCACCGTAACCTCCACTCGAAGGTTTGTCGCGCTAACTCGAGCGTGTCGGAGAGCTAACCAGTGTGCCTTTCTTGAGTAAACCCAACTGTGCACAATTACTTTAGTCGAAAAAGCTCGTCTAATTTTCATCGATGAACTGCAATTTCTAGTTTCTGGATAGGATCATTAGGGGGAATCTACGAAACTTCTAGGAATGAGCGAGGAGGAGATACAAAAAAGCTAAATCTTTACCAAAAAAGGATTTAATAATGTATTCATGTGTATCTGAATGCATCCTGAAGACAAACTGACTTTAGGACCCAGAGGATCTGCTCATTTGCTCCATGTGGAGCTGTAAGGCCATCTAGTGGCAAGAGTTATGTATAGCGTGTTATATTATTATTTTCCACAAGAGGTCGGCAAAGACACCCGTTGTAAGATATTTTGAGTTGAATTAAAAGGGTTATGTGTGAAATAGTGAGTTATTTTGAATTTAAGTTGAAAGAATGAATAATGTGCTTAAATTACTATTTATATTTATTGATCAAATAAATAAAATAAAAAATCTCCCCCCAAAAAATGAATTAAAAAATAGAAAAAATATCAAGATATTAAAAAAAAAATATATATATATAGTATAGTAAAGTATAAATTTAGGGTTTAAAAAATGTGTTACTTTTTTAAACAAATATTCATATATATATATAGTATAATTTTAGGGTTTCAAGAATTTGTTACTTTTTTAATCAAAACTTGTTTAAAAAACTCCGAGTCCATAAAATTATTTTTGTGTGAATTCATGATTCAAGTGCAACAAAGGTCCTTGGGTATTGGACCCCTCTGATGAACACAAAACAAATATTTTCAGGTCAAAATAAAGCCACATACAAAGTACACGTACTACTTAAAATGAAACGGTCTCAACATAGTCAAAATAATGAGACTTCATTTTATTTATGCAAAATATAATTTATTTTTGATGTTGAGGTGAAATACATATATACACCCCCAGGGAACACGGTAATGAGAAAATATAAGATGGATGGGAAATGCATTCTTTCGAGAAACTTTGCATTCACTCACAAAGCCATTTCCTTCCCACCTCATATTATTTCCATTATTCAAGTTTAAAAAGACACAAAAACATTAATATATTATTGTTCCTTCCAATTTGTTCATCATCACCATGCCCTCATCAACTCAAACATTTCTGACAGACAGTTCCCACATGAATGTGTAATATTAAGTTCAATACACAAAACCATCATAAACGAGAGGGAGACACTAAAAATAAATAGCCAATTTAGCTAATAATGTAAAAAACAAATACACAACATAGACCTTTACTGTACATCTACCTACAAACCAATCAAAGTGTTACAGAGATTTAATGGTAAACTTTTAAGTTAGAAATAAGAAACATTAGTTTATCATTCAGAGGAATGTCATAATTATGTGTAAAACCCCAAGCACTCCCATGCTCACCAGTCGTATATACATAAGCGCAAAATATCAGGCAGACCAAAAATAAACGAAGGCTTTACAAAATGTAAATTTGTTTAAAAACAAGATTCAATAAACATTATAAATAAGTGTGTGCTGATCGCATTTGACCTGTATGGTTCCTGAAACCATATATCCGGCGTTATTTGGTCTGTGACTGACGTTGGGTCTGATCCGAGATCAGTCTCAGGCGTAATTGTTGTTGTGTTCCAGCCGGGTGACTAAGGTGGACACGAGTCTCTCCAGCTGCTCCGCTCGCAGTTTGCCCGTCTCCAGAACTTCCTCGTGATTGGCCTTTTCCTCGCTGTCGTAGTCCATCACCGCTTTATTGGTGATCAGAGACAGAGCGAAGACGCGCATGCCACAGTGACGGGCCACGATCACCTCGTGAACGGTGCTCATGCCTACAACACACACAGCCTGCTCATTAAACCAGTTCACATTACAAAACAGCTTCTTTCAATAAAACGTAAATTCAATCTGTTCATCATATAAAGCGATCGAGTCTCTTCAGAAATTTGGACTAAACCACTCAATTCATGTGGATTAGTTTTACGATCTCTATTGACTTTTTGAAGTATCAAAGTGTCAGTTGGGACAGAAGTCTCTCATATTTCATCAAAAAGATCGTCATTCGGGTTTCGAATATAACGACATGATGGTAATTACGGACAAAATTTTCATTTTTATGTGAACTGTCCCTTTAAGAGAGGCGCGACGCTCTTACCGACGGCATCGGCTCCCAGCTTGTTCAACATGCGACACTCCGCGATCGTCTCAAACGAAGGTCCTCCTAGAACGCAGTAAACGCCCTCTCGCAGGAAATCCCCGAAGCCGAGCTCTGAGCCCACGTCCAGCGCCAGCTGCTGGAGCTCCCGATCATACGCGTCAGACATGCAGGGGAAGCGTAAACCAAACCTGAAAAAAGCAATGTGAGTTAAAGGGATAGTTCACCCAAAAGTGAAAATTATCAAATGATTTACACGCCCTGAAGCCATCCTAGGTGTATCATTCTTCTTCAGACGAATGCAATCTGAGTTATATTAAACAGATGTCCTGGCTCTTCCAAGCTTTATGGGCACCATTTTTACCAAGTCCATACAAGTGCATCATATCCATGATAAAAGTGTCCCAAACGGCTCTGGGGGTTAATAAATAAAGCGAAGCCATGCGTAGTTGTAAGAAAAATTACACTTTTATGATGGATAGATGCACTTATCATGGATAGATGCACTTTTATGATGGATAGATGCACTTTTATCATGGATAGATGCACTTTTATCATGAATTGATGCACTTTTATCATGAATTGATGCACTTTTATCATGAATTGATGCACTTTTATCATGGATAGATGCACTTTTATCATGAATAGATGCACTTTTATCATGGATGGATGCACTTTTATCATGAATTGATGCACTTTTATCATGGATAGATGCACTTTTATCATGGATAGATGCACTTTTATCATGGATAGATGCACTTTTATCATGAATTGATGCACTTTTATCATGAATGGATGCACTTTTATCATGAATTGATGCACTTTTATCATGGATAGATGCACTTTTATCATGAATTGATGCACTTTTATCATGAATTGATGCACTTTTATCATGGATAGATGCACTTTTATCATGGATAGATGCACTTTTATCATGGATAGATGCACTTATATCATGGATAGATGCACGTTTATCATGGATAGATGCACTTTTATCATGGATAGATGCAATTTTTATCATGAATAGATGCACCTATATCATGAATAGAAGCACTTTTATCATCGATAGATTCACTTTTATCATGGATAGATGCACTTTTATGATGGATAGATGCACTTTTATCATCAATAGTTTCACTTTTATCATGGATGGATGCACTTTTATAATGTATAGATGCATGTTTATCATGGATAGATGCACTTTTATCATGGATAGATGCACTTTTATCATGGATAGATGCACTTTAATCATGGATAGATGCATTTTTTATCATGAATAGATGCACCTATATCATGAATAGAAGCACTTTTATCATCGATAGATTCACTTTTATCATGGATAGATGCACTTTTATGATGGATAGATGCACTTTTATCATCAATAGTTTCACTTTTATCATGGATGGATGCACTTTTATAATGTATAGATGCATGTTTATCATGGATAGATGCACTTTTATGATGGATAGATGCACTTTTATCAAGAATAGATGCACTTTTATCATGGATAGATGCACTTTTATCATCGATCGATTCACTTTTATCATGGATGGATGCACTTTTATGATGTATAGATGCACATTTATCATGAATAGATGCACTTTTATAGACTTAAAAAAGGGTGCCCATTCACTGCTATTATAAAGCTTGGAAGAGCCAGGACATGTTTTAATATACCTCAGATTGCATTCGTCTGACGGAAGAATGTCATATAAAAGGATGGCTTCAGGGTGAGTAAATCATGGGGTAATTTTCATTTTTGGTTGAACTATCACTGTAAGGCTTGTGTAATGATCAATTTGCACCGGAGTGCATGTGAAATCTCTGCGTGTCTAAACAGCTCCGTGTCGTGAGAGTGTTAGATGTGAGTGAGTCTATGTTTACTGCAACACATATAAACATACCTCTCGTCGTTGGGTCCCGCCAGTGGGTTGTTTCCAGCAAACCCAGGCATGTTGAGATGATCTTTGATGATCATGATGTCGCCTACTTTATAGTCCTGGTTCAGGCCGCCGGCAGCGTTGGTCAGAATCACGGTCTTCACTCCCATGAGTTTGAAGATCCGCATTGGCATCGTAATCTGCAACACAACAACAATACTAGTTTGAGATTTTGACAAGCATCAGATGGACATCTCGGCACAGCTTGCTGATTTCAGAGCTAAGGCAAGTTTTAAAGTTAGTGTAAAACCACCTTTAAATACATAGAAAAAAAGCTATATTGTTAACGGTATACCAGTCCCTCCAGAAAAACGTGATTATGCGATTCCTACGTGATTAAAGGGCATTTTTTTCATATACGCCGCACTTTCGCTGCATAAATTGCTGATTTGCATGATTTCATAATCCTCGCATTTCCGTTGCAGAAAAAGTCCCACATATCCCAGCAGAAAAATGTAGAAAAAAAAAGAGCAGCCGTTTCCCCCTGTTGCCATGGGAACGTTACGAAGTGACGTAATTACGCGACGTGAACATCATCGAAAGCTGTAAAACAGGAGCACACTTTATTTTAATTTATTCATTTTTTTATTTAAAACAGGAGCACACTTTATTTTTATTTTTATTATTTAAAACAGGAGCACACTTTACGCAGTTTTTTCAACTTCCCGCAATTTCATCGCAAAAAATAGCATAAATATTCTGCATATCTCACTTTTAAAGAAAACGGGCCACATAATCAAGTATTTTTGCCCCCAACAATCACAAAAAAAACTATTTTCCGGAAGTACTGGTGTGCATTTTGGACGCGAGTATAATGGGTGTTTGTACCTTTTGGATGGCATATCCCTCATAGAGATGAAACCTCCCCTGCATGCAGACACATGGTATTCCCTTCAGAGTGCCGAACACCAGTCGCCCCGCGTGACCGTGCACTGCCGAACACACACAAAGCACAGACTCAGCAACACAAATAAGGAGTAATGGAAACCTTGCCAGGTAATCCCTCACACCGCACAGCAGCGCTCACCTGTGCTTTGGGGGAAGTTGGGGATGTCTTTATAGTTGAATGCCACCGAGTCTTTCAGCGCATCAGCCAGTCCGCCCATCCCGGAGCCACACACGATGCCCACCAGAGGACACACTGCCGTCTGGGACAGGAGCCAGTCCGCCGTGGCCTGGCAGTCCTCATAGCTGTACCTGCAAAGAGAAACATTTATGAGACTTTAACCAGCTCACTGCATTCCCAGCACACACGTCATGCTTGAATGCTTGAGATCCGGCGATGGAAAGTTTTAAAAAGTAAGCGATCCGATTCTGGCCTGAGGCACTAACGTGGACTTAACCACTTTTTCCACAGACGTTACTTGTTAACCCAACTTGGGGGTGGCGTCCCGTCCTGGAAACACTATTAATTATCACTTTCAAAGTGTTGCTGGAATTTCTGCTTCCTTTAATGATCTCCACAGCATCCCATGTTAAAGTCACTCACTCCAAGAATAAGGTTTATCAGCAGACTCACTTCACTTCAGATACAGCAGAGCAACTCAATGGCCAAAAAGATACACACACTCATTTAAAACGTCACAGAATATGTTAAAGTTGCATGAGATCATGATTGGTGACGCTCAGACCGGCCAGACTCGCAGCTGACAGTATTATCATACTAATCAATGAAGACTTATTAAATCATGTGAGTATGTAGATTAGATGGACCTTATATGGTTTGTTTTTAAGAAATGTTCCACAACCTCCACACAAGGGGAAATAAACATGTGTTAAATCATGAAGGAATAGACATTGTCAAATGACACTTTAACATTCATCACTGGATATAATAATTCCCTCACATTACATTATTTTATGTCAAATACTGTATTTGAATGGCTAAGATGAAGCCTGCAGATAGCAAATAAAAATATCCTGGCAGATTTGAAACTTGAGCCATTTTTGGACACATCGCTACTGTAATATGAGCCCTGACTCCTGAAATAAACTTTCTGTGACAGAGTAGCTTTATGATTAAATATGGCCTTTGCGGTTTGGAGAACAGTGACAAAGTTATCATTTAAAAAATCAGTTTAGATTTTCAATTTAATTGAAGCAAATATACATTACAACCAATTAATTATCAACATTTTTTTTAAAGAATGTGACAAAAGTCCAGGTCCAAAAAGATATATATATATATATATATATATATATATATATTTTTTTATTTTAAGTAAACATGTCAGTGCCCTTTTCCAATGTTTATGATAGGCTGCCATATTTTTAGGACTAGTAGTCTAATGTTTGACCAATTTAATAGCTGAATAATTAAACGTATCTAAAGAGCACGTTTTATTGTGTTTTTGTTGTATATGATATGTATGTGTGGGTAATGTACTTTACCATTTTATTGTAGAAACCATACATTTTCAAAATGATTTCAATAAAATAACATCTAATAATATCAAAATAGTTAAATAAAAAATGACAATAATAAAAAAAATATTATAATAAATAATTCGAAGTTTTCAAAGAAAACCCGTTTTAAACACGAGACGTCCTCTTATATAACGGTACCGAAACGCGCGCGCACTGTTCTCTGGCAGCTGTTGTTCAACACACGCAGCGCGAACGCGCATCAGCACGTGCTCATCACTGCGACGATTCGGTTAAACACAAACTCACAGAATGAATGGATAAATTATGATAGATCAGCTTTAACTAAGCAACCCCTTGTATTATGAAGCCATGGCGCGATTATATCGCATTCACCAACGAAATAGCCTATTCAAACATAGGATGGCTACACATTTAAAAGACAAAATGAAGAATATAGAAAGTTAGACTTGAAAAAAATATAATATAAATAAAAATATATTTTACCCAGTGCTGCTCTCAGGAAACATGTTTGAAATCGCTGGTCAGATCCTTCGGAAATACGGAACGGAAAACTCGATGTTTCTAGCGACGGATACGGAGGACACTTATAAGCGACGAACGACCAAGAAAACAAATAACGGAGATATAATTCAAACTGAGCACGTCTAGCGAGTCGCGACAGTCAATAAAAACTCTTTAATAATTCCTGAAGTGTTGCTCACGTCGCCGGTGTTTTATAGATCCTCCGTTTCTGCCGCTCCTCCCCGCGGTCTGACGCAAATGAAAGGAACGCAACACACCCCTGACGCGACGCCCACTGACGCAACGCCCGCGGTCAGGGTGGGCCAACACGGGCTCTTAAACTAAAGAAACAGCTGTCACAGAGACCGAGCACCTGATATACGGGAAATTGGGTTTTGTCCAGATTAGATTTATGGACGGTCGAACAAAACAAACGCATGTGACTACAAGTCATTGAAACATTAACACTGTTATGTGTGTCCATGATGTGTATTTGGCTTATTCAGTCTAATTCACAATGATTTAGATAAAGATATCGTGAACTTTAATCACGACAATGACCTTTTATCTTTGCCTTTGAATGAAAGCATGCCTATTGAAGAAGTGTGTGTGGATAGGATGGTCGTTGGTGTCTTTTTACCATCAAGTTTTAAAAAGGATTTTCCTATGTAGAATTTTTGTGTGTGTGTGTTTTAAAACAGGATATGCACTAAAAAAATATAAAAAAAATGTTGTTGGACTTTATATTGACCGACTTTGACCAGCCCTGAGTCAACATTTCAGAAATGCTAAAAGTAAGTAAGTCAAAGTATTCAGTTCTTCAACATCCCCCTCATTGAGCACATGTTATTTTAGGCCTATAACCTAAGACCAGGACCAGGGCACCTCAGGAGCAAAGTTCATGACCCCTGTTGACCTTTGACCTGTCTCAAACATATCACATTAGGTAGAGGTATTTATATTAGCACCTCACACATGATCATGTCCCTCAAAACGGGTTTAGCGCCACCAATGAAGAAGAATGTTTTTCAATAATGATGCGAATATTAAAACAAGTCCAACTGAATTAAAGATTAACAGAGCCCGATTGACGTGGCACAGGCCCTTAATCAATATTTTTTTGAGTCAGTGGATAAAATAGCCCAACGTTTTACTGTACAACAACCTAATCTACAAACAATTAAATGCAAGTGACACAGCTGTATAGTCTTAAGACCAGTAACTAAGTTAGAGGTCGAAAGAGTGGTCATGTCATTGAGGTCCTCAAGGGCAAAGGATATCTATGGTATGGATACACTCTTACTAAAAGAAATTAGTCCTCAATAGTCAACCCTCTAACACATATCATTAATAGTTCAATAAATCAAGGGATATTTTCTAGTTCTTGGAAACCAGCGGTTGTGGCTCCTATATTTAAGGGAGGCGACGCTCGCTTACCTTGTAATTAGTGTCCTATCAAAGCTTTTTTGAAAAACTAGTGGCCAAACAAATTATTGATCATCTTAATAATAGTTCCTTCCAATTACATCCGATGCAATTTGGTTTTAGGGCAAACCACTCAACAGAAAACTGCAATATGTTACTTTACAGAAAAGGTAAAAGCATTAATGGATAAAGGTGGAATGGTGGGGGCTGTATTTCTTGATTTACAGAAAGCATTTGATACTTTATAATAATCCTTTGCAAAAACTGTATGATTTTAACTTATACAGTTTGTAAATTTAATCAAATCTTACCTTTCTTCCCGTTCTCAATTAGAAAAAAATTGATCATTTTAAATTTAATTTATTAGGTCTATCAACTGGCGTTCCACAACTGTCCATACTGGGCCCAATACTCTTTATTAATGATTTACCCAAGGAGTGTGAACAATGTAATGACGATACAGTCATTTTTACACATGGTAAATGCAGAAGAGATTGCAAAAAAGTTGACAGACATTGGTAAAAGTTACATCCTGGTTTAATCAGAGTTCTCTGAGGTTAAATGTGGCAAAAACAGTTTGTATGTTGTTTTCTAAAGGACATAGGTCTAACAAAAAAAAAAAAAAAAAAAAAAAAAAAACAGGACATTTTTATTTCAGGAGAAAGAATACAAGTTGTTCCAGAATTTAAATATCCAGGGGTACATCTGGACTCATATCTTGGTTTTAAAACTCACGTAAAAAAAAAGTTTGCAAAAAAATAAATAAATTGTCCAAGCAGAGTTGCAACATGTAAATTCATCAAGTGACCAGAAAGTATCCAAAGAAAGTATTTTTTTGTGTGTATAGTGTTCTTTTAAAGTGTGCTTATGCTCTTTAAAATAAATTTAACTGATGACAAAAAAAAAAAAAAAAATTTGCAAAAAGATTAAATTTAACTTGGTTAATTTTAGGTTTATTAGAAATTGTTTATCAAATCAGGCAGCAAAGATATATTTCCATTCTATGATTCATTCTCATGTCACATATTGTTTGACAAGCTGGTCAAATACACATTTGATAGTCCTAAAACCATTAGAATCACTATACTAACAATTCAGTTTTCATCACTGTCACATTTGAAATAAGTATAACCTGTTTAACTAATCAAATTTAAAAATGTTTGTTTAGTTTAAATGATTATGCATGGTTTGGCTCCCCCTCATTTGGCAGATTTTATTAAATCTAAATCTGTTGAAAACAGAATTACAAGAGGTGCAATTATAGAGCGGATTGTAGCTATAATTCCACATAGGAAAACATTGTTTGGTCAAGCTGTTTTCTCATACAAAGCCTCACATCAGTGAATACTGTACCTCAAACAATTAGAGAGTGCTCATCATTTAAGCTTAATCTTAAGAAATGGCTACTTCATTACCAACAATGTGATCATTAACGCTGCTCCTCTATTATTATTATTATTATTACTAACCTTATTATTCATTTTATTATAGACCATATTTAACTAAAATCTATTTTTTTGTTTAATTGTGTCAAATTGTCTTTTTGTGTTGTATTGCTGTAATGTTTAACTCTTTTTTTCCCTTTAGAGCCTAATAACATCTGGCAAAGGGACTACCAATGAAAACTAGCCTTTGGGTTAATTTCGGTACATTTACATTCAAGAATGTTTATTAATGAACATAACATAAAACAACCATTGCCTGGATTCTAGACTACCTTCTAGCACGACCACAGTTTGTTAGGATGGGTAACAAACATTCTAATACCATTTTAACTAATACGGGAGCACCTCAGGGTACAGTTTTATCCCCCTTTTTATTTTCACTTTATACTGCTGATTATAGGCATAGTCAGCCATCCTGCTGGATACAAAAATTTTCTGACGACACTGCTTTAGTAGGTCTACTTACACTCTAAAAAATGCTGGGTTGTTTTAACCCAATTTTGGGTCAAATATGGACAAACCCGAAATGTTGGGTTAAAAATGTAATGTAAAAATTTAACCCAACGGCTGGGTTAGTCCATATTTGACCCAAAGTTGGGTTAAAACAACCCAGCATTTTTTAGAGTGTAATAAGGGTGATGATCTTGCTTACCGAATGGAGGTTCAGTCTTTTTATAATTGGTGTGATTCAAACTTTCTGAAACTGAACATTGGGAAGACCAAAGAACTTGTGATTGACTTCAGAAAGAAAAAAGAGAAGGTCCTCCCAGTTAGAATTGATGGCGAAGAGATCGAGATTGTGCAGTCATATACATTTTTGGGCGTTCATTTGGATGAAAAACTAAACTGGAAAGAGAACACTAGTGTTGTGATGAAGAAGGCTCAGTCGAGACTGTTCTTTTTGAGAAAACTAAGATCATTTAATATCAGCACAAAGCTCTTAAATGTTTTTTATCAAGGGATTTTAGCTAGTGTTCTTTTTTATGCTGTACTTTGCTGGGGGGGCAGTATATCTGTTGAGGACAAAAATAGGATAAATAAACTGATCAAGAGAGCTGGTTCAGTTATTGGTCTTAACCCAGATGCATTGGAGGTTACTGTGGAGAAGAGGATACATTCAAAATTGAAAACTGTCCTGCTTTTTGAAGGCCATCCACTACACAATTTGTTTAGGGGACTCAGAAGCTCTTTCAGTGAGCGACTGGTTCTGCCTCGGTGTTCTAGTGAGCGGATGAGAAGATCTTTTGTCCCAGCAGCAGTCAGATATTTTAATGAACACTGTTAATTATTGAGTGACATCCAGGCCTTTAATAGAGTTAGTGTTTGATTATTTTTGCACTGTGAAATTGAATATTTCTTGTAGTTGTGTCTTATCAGGTTTTTGTCATTCTTTTAATGCATATTTATTTATTTATTTATTTGTCTGTTAGTTGTGTACTGTGTTTATGGTTGTACGGTTGGTGGCAAACCAGTTTCCCTACCGGGATTAATAAATTTTCTATCTATCTATCTATCTAATGTACACTGTACCTTTTCTAAATAAATAAATAAATCTCCTCTTTCCGTCATCCTCTAAGACTGGCATCATTTCAGTTCATTACATCATTTATTGTGTGTTTTGATGCAGCCTGTTGTTGTAATCAGCAGGATCAAGGTACACACGTGACTGAATAGGCTTAATATTTACATCCTCACCCACAGTGAAAACTCTCAAATATATTTCATATGCATTCATTTATAAATGTATAAATGCATTTACATAGTACATACTTACACTCTAAAAAATGCTGGTTTGTTTTAACCCAATTTTGGGTAAAATATGGACAAACCCAGCCATTGGGTTACATTTTCAAATTATATTTTTAACCCAATTGGCTGGGTTTGTCCATATTTTACCCAAAATTGGGTTAAAACAACCCAGCGTTTTTTAGAGTTTAATATAAATACCACGCAATTGTACTTTTGGGATACTAAAATTAGTATACTTCAAGAGTGCTAAATTGAAACAACTACTTTTAGTGTACTTTAATTATTCTGAGGTCCAGCTAAACAAGTATATTAGATTGTGCTGAAGTTGAACTATTGCAAGTGTACTTTAGGAACAATTTAAATATATTGCATTGATATCATACAGAGATCAAATGATTATGGAAGCTTGTTTCTAGCACTGAATAAAAAATAAAAATAAAAATAACTGCGATTTTTTTATCTCAAAAATACGAGATATGAAGTCAGAATTGTGAGAAAGTCGCGGTTGTGAGATATAAAGTCTCAGTTCTGAGAAATAAAGTCACAATTGTGAGAAAAAAAGACATAATTGTGACTTTTTTTCTCACAATTAAAAGTTTACATCTCACAATTCTGAATTTATAAC